GAATGAGGGCCCTTAGGTGGAAGTGGGAAGGCAGGAGGCTGGGGATGAACTGGGGCAGCTGCTCTCTACGCCTTTGGAACCTCTCCCGGCAAGCACCCTGACGCTGGCCTGCGTGGCTCAAGCCTCAGCTGGCGTCCCAGAACCCTGACGGTCACAGCCCCTCTGATGGCACTGTGGGGCAGCAGTGGGCCAGGCACTCGGGACTCATAGGAAGGCTTGCTGGGTGGGGCAGAATGAGGCCAAACGGGCTCGGGCACAGGCAGCCAGGACAGGCCACTTAAGGAACAAGGAGCCGGGTGGGTGGCCGGCACTTGTCCTGCAAACCGCGGGCTGGCCCCCAGGTGGGACGCGGTACCCTTCCACAGGCGGCCAGCTCCCAGGGGTGCTGGCCCTTGAGGTACGGCGCTCGTGCCCTTCTTTCAAGCATCCTGGGGCTGATGCTTTTCACTCCAGGTGAGAGAAGGAAGTGTCCCCGGGTGTTTCTTAGGAACAGGAGAGACCTGCACCCTCGCTGTCCCAGCGCAGCACTCAGGGCCTTGGTGACACGCCGGATTCATGAATATGCACCAAACAGGCTGAGAAGTGTTGCCTATCACCTCTAGATTTTTTAGGTGTGCGAACATCCAAAAATCAGCATGGTTCTAATTTCTACTTGACAAGTCAGTGCAGCGAATTTAAAATGAAAAATGTGTTACCTTCCACTTCCCTTTGCTCCCCCCAGGCTAACTGCTGGTGGCTTGGTGCTGTGGGGCACAGGTCGCGCTCTGGGCATGAGGCACGAGGTGCTGGGACGGAGCCGAAGCCCACGGCCAGCAGGAGCCGCTGGACAAGTGTTCACAGAAAGCAAGCCTGCTCTGGCCTGGGGCAACGCGCTCACTGCTAGGCCACCCTGCCGCCCTGCAGAGAGGGGACGACCGGCCGGGGGACAGCCTGGGGCTGGGTGTCCTCCCACGCCCCACGTGATGTGTGACTCTCGGCAAACTACCCAACCCTCCTTTGCCTCAGTTTCCCCATCTGTGAATAGGGGATCATTTTAGAAGCCACCAATTAAGTGAATTAAATAGATTAAGGGAAATAACGCATGTGGATCATGGCCTGTCCCTGAACACTGTAAGTACGCCACAAGCCTTAGCTGTGATTGTCATAAAAATGCATGCTTCCCAAGAAATTATTATTGATGGCCACATCCATTAACAGGATGTACATTGGGAAAGGAAATGGCACTTATCATAAAATTCTGGTTTTATTTATTTTATCTTAATAGTCATTTTATGTGTATATAAAAGCAGTGGATACAATCATTCAATGGGGAAAACATAATTAGGAAGCTATTCTGCACATTATACTTTCATTTAAAATTTACTTTAAAGAGCAGTGGACTATTCTCCTCAAGTATTAGTCTTACAGGAGGGATATACTCACTTTTAAGGAGTCAGGGAGCAAATTTGTACTCATAAAAGAATAAAGTGCCAATGAAGGTGCTTTCTAGGGGATACCACAGTTGGTTTCACTGATTCCTCCATTAAAAGTTCCAAAGGTTTATTTTCCAGAAATATTCAATCCTATAATTCCTATTCTGACTGTGCCCAAATACGGCCGCCTTCATCCGAAAGGCCTTACTCGTTGCTGAAGAACCTGCGGGTGCTCAGAGGACCACTGTGAGAAGCACAGCATAGGGGCCCCAAGAAAACAGTTAAAAACACATCGTTGGAACAGGGGAGACCCCGGAGGAGTTTTCTGAATGAGGGTCCTTTAGCTTGGAAGCGAGAGGTAAAGGTCTTCTCTCCCTAGGGCTTTGCTCCTCTGCAGCCGCCCTGCCTTGATGGCCCCCAGGAGCCCCCTCATACCCCGCCCTTGCCTCTGTAAATATTAACTCACCCCGTGCTCCCCTTGTCTGGCCACACACAACACGCCCTCCCCAGACCACGGGGCTCTTTCTAAACCCAGTTAATCCGCCGCGATAGGCAGACTCTGCAGGATAAGAAGCTAACCCAGGAATCTCCCAGGCTCCCCAAACCGAGGTCGCCCCTTGCTCACACCACGAGTCTGTGTGGCTGGGGGACCTGGGCCCACAGAGGCTCGTCTTGGGACCTGCCTTGCATGTGGCTTCTGGGACTACTGGGACAGTGACAAGAGAACACGCATCCGTGCTGCTCACTACCCCATGGCCACAGCTGCCACAGGAGGAGACCGTGGTGCCCAGGAAGGAGGCCCAGGAGTCTGGGCCTCACCCCTGCAGTCGTGCCTGTGGCCCTACGACTTCCGAGCTCCCACCGTCTGCCCAGGTCCCCTCTGGGACCTTCCCACAGGCCGCGTTTCACCCTCTGTGTAGACTTGGCCTTGATCCTGCTTGCTCCCCACTGCCAGGGGACCTCTTCCTTGTCCCAAACACTTTGCTGCAGGGTCTCTCATGCCCTGTGACCACACCCCAGCACTGCCCTGTTTGGGGACCTTCTCTGCACACACCTGTCCCTGGCTGAACTGAAAGTTCTTGGGGACAAGCGCAGGGCCTCCGTCCTCTTCCCCCCAGGTCCAGCCAACAGACCAGCCTCCAGAGCCCAGAGCATAGTCCCCTGCTGCGTCCAGTCCCCAGAGCCTGGGAGGAATTGTTCTCAGCCGGACGATTACAGGTTAACTGGAGAGTGTGAGAAAGCTTATTTCTCTGAGCATGACACAGCACAGCACTGCCACACTGGCACACAGCTCAGCTGGCACACAGGCAGGAGGCTCTGGGGCCTGCAGGCTCACAGATTCCTTGCACCCTGCAGTCGGTTTCCATCCCTGGACCTGTGCACATGGAGAACTGTTCTCTAAGATATGTCACAAGAAAAGATGTAACCCAGTGTACTTATTTTCCATTGCTGCTCTAACAAATTATCCTAAACTGGATGGTTTGAAACAACACCAATTATTATCTTATAATTCCGGAGGCCCGCAAAGTCCAAAATAGGTCTCACTGAGCTAAAATCGAGGTGTTTGCAGGGCCATGTTCTTTCTGGAGCTTCTAGGGGACAATCTGCTTCCTTTTTCGCCCAGCTTCTAGAGGAAGCCCACGTTCCATGGCTCCTGGCCCGTCCCACCCTCCAAGCCCAAAGCGGCCGGTGGGGTCTTCCTCGGATGGCGCCACTTGGACACTTGCCCTTCTGCCCCCTCTTCCACACTGACAGGACTTGGGCCCTTTTAGATAATTAGGATGATGTTCCATCTTCCATCCCAACATCCTTGATTTAAGCCTGCCTGCAAAGTCCCTTTGCCATGCACAGCACCATGCTCACGGGTCCTGGGCCTTAGGACGCAGGCATCTTTGAGGAGCCTTCATTCTGCTCCCCCTTTCTGCGGACACCTACGGCGACAGGCTAGTGTCAGGAGGAGAAGACGGCCTCGGTGCCTCACCCATGTGTCATCTTTGTAATTAGTGAGCAACACCCCCAGGGTGTGATGGAGGCTCATGGACCCAGGAAGGACCTGGTCCCATTTTTAGCCACCAGATAAACAGGAAGTTTCATCCGGAAGGTGGCATTTCTTCTGCTCTGTGAGTCACAGAAGGGAAAGAGCTGGAAGGGCTGGGCTTGAAGAGTGACCGCAGCCCCCAGAGGGAGAGTGCCCAGGGACCCTAAGCAGCCCTGGCCTGGGGTATCCTCTGGCGGAGAGGACGTCCTGGGGACCCGGCTGAGGGTCTCCGAGGCAGGGTGAGATGCACAGTGTGTAGTGCCGAGCCCTAGGGACCACAGGAGGGTCTCTGAGACCCAAGTCCCTTTGTCAGACTGACGGTGGGGTGGACAGAGTAGGGCCAGGGCAGGGCAGGGCACTGTGGAGCGAGAAGCAGAACTGCCCAGCTGGGGAAAGCAGTAGCCCAGTCACAGCCATGCCCCCAAGGGCCAGGAGCGGGGCTGCCGGACAGGCTGAGCAGCCAGGAGCTGAGGAGGCTGGCCGGGGGCCGGGGGCCCTGGCGGTCAGCATCCTGCGCAACAACCTTCTGGCCCCGAGCCCTGCTTGTTTGAGCACAAAGACGTTCTTTATCATCAAAAATCTCCAGAAATCAAGACTCATGCAATCCTAGCACTCGAAGGCATCCTAAAATGCTATCTGGCCCACCCCACGGTGCTGGAGGAAGGCGCTGTCCACCCCTTTGTAGAAGTCATGAGGCCATCCAGGGCCACCGGGCAGGTGGCGGTCATGTGGGGCTGGCACCCTCTCCCGCTTCTTCCCTGATTATCAGATGATGATGGGGGGCAGAGACAAGGGCAGGGACTGCGCCCCCAGCTTCCTGTCCGGGACTTCGAGCCCCACCTCCAGCAGCTGTAGGAGCCCAGGTCAGCGGGGTGCCCTGTGGGGCGTGGGCCTGACAGAAATCGGAGCCAACGAGGCCTGCACCCTCATTCCCGGCCCCGCCACCCGTCCCAGCCACAGACCCTTCTGCCCAGTAGCCTCCCTGAGCCTCAGTTTCCCCATTGGAAAAGAGGGGGAGTCCAGGGCTTCCCTCAGCACTGGCCCAGGGCTGGCTCCCGTGCCCTCACCTTTCCCCTCCTGCTGACCAAATTCAAGTCAAGCCAAATTGATTTTCCTAATCAGCCCCACTAATTTCCTGTCCCGGCCGTTTCCAAAACTAAAATGCCTTGCTGTCCAGGGTCTGTGGTCCGAGCTTCCTGTGGTCTTCCGTGTGGGCCACATACCAACGGGGCGGGTGAGGACGGGGTCAGGCCCTGGGACTCTGACCGGCCCCGGCCCATGGTGGTGGCGCAAACAGTTTAATCATTAACTCTTTCTCCAGTGCAGTCAGCCGCCCCCACGCATTCACGAGAGGCTAACCCCTTCGGCTCGTTCGACATAACTCGGCGCCCACATTACAACAGGACCAACATGCTTGCCTTCTGAGTCACTCACCAGCACCATATTAATGCCTTTCCAGAGCGCTTTATTGTCGGGAATCACGTTCGCTCTGCCCTCCCCTCCCCGGCCGCCCTGCCCCTCTGCGCTGCCTCCCCTGTCCCAGTGCTCACCTCCCTCTGCCAGCCTCAGGCCTCTTCTAGCATCCTCCAGCGCTGCTGCCCTTCCCAGGGCGGCAGCCTGCAGGCCCGCCCCGCCCCCCGCGCACTGCTGCCCTTCCCTCTCCCCTGCAGTCTTGAGCAGCCCGGGGCTGAAGAAACTGCACATTCTTCCTTTGTCTGCAACTCTGCTGTGAAACTGGAGGGCGTCCCCTTCACCCCCGTGGACTTCTGAATGAAGCCCAAATATTTTAAACGTCCTCACCCTGCTCTCGTCCGCGCCTGCTCTGATTCTTTCAGAGCTCCCCATCATGCGTGGCGCCCAATATCAATTCCTCTTTCCAGCTGGCGTCGGGCGCCAGCACCAGGAGGGCCCTGCGCACCCAGTCACTCCTGGGGCCAGGCCGCCGGCCTTCTTGCCGCCCTCCGCCAGCAGTGCCATCCGCCTGCCTCCTCCTCGGCAAGACCCTCTTGCCCCTGAAGGGCCTCCCAGCTCCCACCCTTGCTCTCCTTTGCTAGCAGCAAAGAATAAACCGCTTATGAGCCAGATGCGCACAGCATCCCACATCCCGGCAGAACTGACACAGAATTGTGTAAGTCACACGGCAGGAGCCGGGTGAATACTTGGTGCGTTCAGGTCCATGGCTGCCATGACAAATTACTATAAACCAGGTGGCTTAAAACAATAGAAACTTATTTTCTCACAGTTTTGGTGGCTGGAAGCCCAAAATCAAGGCGTGGGCAGTGTCACACCCCCTCTGAGACTCTGGGGCAGGATCCTTCCTTGCCTGGCAGCTTCGATGGTTGCCAGCACTCCTTGGCACTCCGTGGCTTGCAGATGCATCGCTCCAACTTCTGCCCCATCAGCACATGGCATTGTCTCTGTATCTTCTCTGTGTGTGTGTCCAAGTTTCCCTCTTCTTATAACGGCATCAGTCATTGGACTAGGCCCACCTATATGACCTCATCTTACTTTGATTATATCTGTAAAAATCCTATGTCCAAGTAAAGTCACATCCATAGGTACCCCAGGCTGGGACTTGAACACAACTTTCTGGAGGACATCCTACCCACACAATAGTCACATATCTGCCCAGGTTTTCTGATCTTTAAGATTTCACTCCCATGCCCAGGTTGTGATGAAATAAAGAAGATGGAACCCCGCCACTTCCTGGCAGAGATTTCTCAACCTTCTTCTGTCAAGACCCGCAAGGCATTCTTTCTTGCAGGTGTAACTTGGAGCCCACCAGCTGCGGCTACTCCTTCCCTGTTTCTCTCCCTTTCTCCTGAAACCAACTAGAGTGAGACTGACAATATTATAGATAAAAGCTGGAATCTGTTCTAATTTATGTGTTTTTAAATTTTAGGCATCACTGGCAAACACTGCCACTTTAAAACAAATAAAAGTTTGCCTGAAACTTCAATTGTCCTCAGACACTAGGAACCTTCAGTTCAGGTGGACAATTGCAAGCAGCTGTTCCCTCCCCCTACACAGCCCAGGGCAGCCGAGGAGGCCCTGTGGGCTTAGGTCTGGGTCTGGCCTCACTGTTAACCAGCTGCACAACTGTGGGCTAGCTGTTCAGCAATCTGAGCCTCGGTTTCCCATCTGCACAGTGCAAGCCCCTGCCTCAGGGGAGGATGGAGTGGAAGGCACTGAGAAACAGAACACACCCGGCAGGTGCTGAGGCTCAGTACCTGTCAGCTGGGGTAGCTGTCGTTACCAACACTCCTTGGGGTGGTAGGCCCTCCAACAGGAACCCAGACGTCAGGGCCAGAGGCAGTCTCTCCGGTGCTTGAAGGCTTTGCTAAATTCAACAAGAGGCTCTTTGCTGAGTGTTCTCAGAGACTCCGAGGCTCCACAAAGCCACGTTGGTTCAAGTCTGCACTTGGAAGCTAGAGCTGGGACGGCTCCTGGAGGAAGCTGACCCAGACAGGCTTGCAAGAAGTTACAGAGAAGATGTTTCCCCATGGCCCGTCCTTTCCCACCTCCCTGGTCTCGGGAAGGGTTGAGAACTCTCCCCACGGGCCCTGACTTCTGGGGAGCTTTGCAGGGACCAAGTCTCGGATATCTAGGCAAGCCAATGACAGCCTTTAAATCAAGTGATTTGAAACTCATTTTGTCCCAGGAGGCTTTGAGAGTTTGAGGACCCCTGGGTGGCTGAGAGTCCTGTGCTTGGGAACCAGGCCGCTTCCCCACCTTGGACGCCTGCAGCATCCCCCCGTTGCCCTCCAGAGTACTCTGCGACTGAGGTGGTCGTGTAGCAGCCCCCTGCACCCAGCAGTCCTCGCCCAGAACTTTTTTAAAGCGTGAACCAGACAACACCACCACAAATCTTGCTCCTTGTTGCATTTTCCGCCCTCACATTCCTAAAGTGCTCTCCTCCGTGAGTGGCCAGCCTCTGTTACTTCTGTTTACATTTTACAAAACTGGAGACTTTCAGAGGAATTGATAAGAATGAAACCCTGGTTGGAACAAGTTGCTCCCTTCTAATTAGACGTGAATGTTCGGCCGATGGGAAATGATACTGAAGTGCGAGGCGTGTTTTCCCAGAAACGCTGCTGCCTAATTATTCACCATTTTTCTTTCATTATCATTCATCCAACATCATTCATGTTGTAATTTTTCATGCTCGATCCTAGTCCACTTTATTAGCAGTGTGTAATTTTCTCTGAGTGGGTATGGCCGGGTTCGTTGTTTTGTCGGTGAAGGGGTTTGTTCATTCTTTTATGAAAAACCTCTTGTCTTTCTTGTTCTGTACCAGGGAAGAGAAAGGACAGCGTGAGAGGGGAGTCCTGGACACGGGGACCCCACAGCACTTCTAGATGGAGGTTTTCTTAAAGTGGATCCTGGCACAGTTGCTCAGATGAAATGAACCCTCCCAGAAGGGGAATAGCTCCGCCGCTTTTCCGAGAACAGTAACAGAATACCAACATTCCTGCTCTCTCTTCCTGGAGGTGTCCTGCCAGGTGAAAACCCTCGTCAGCAACTCGGAAGGCAGCCCCAGAGTCCCCTGAATGCACAGAAAGGGCCCTGCCCCAAATGTCTCAGCACTCCCTGAGCAGGGCAGCGCCTGTCGGCCCACCTCTCCAGCAGTAAGGACATTTCCTAGAGGCTGAGGCAGGTTCTGGAAACCTGTCACCTGCTGCTTCCCACGCACTGATTAATGTTCAATTACAGCCCTGATTTTAAATCCAGTCATCCTAAATCTAGACTGACAGGATATAGTCTCAAAGTCCATCAGAAAAGGCATCGCCAGCTCTGGGTCTCTCCACTGATGTCGTTTTTGAAAGCCTATCCCCATGCCCTGCACCGTCTCTGAACCCCAGAACCATGAAGACAGCTCAGAAATATTGACTTCCCAGGACTCAAGCAATCACGGGGTGACTTTGACTGAAACTATCGTCTTCCCCCTTCCCCTCGTCTGTGGTGCAGACGTCCTGCGCTGTCCCCAGGAACCATCCCCAGAAGTGGTCCCCAGGGAACACACCTCTGCAACCTCAAACCCTCCAAGGGCTGCCTTTTAAAAGTCTCCAGAAACCAGAGGGGGTAATCTAACGCTCCTCCCGATAAGCTCCTGCCCTGTCTTCTGCCCAAATACAATGGTCCTCATTAGCTTACAGAGGGGCTTTGGACTCACACCAAACCCTTCCCTGCGGAGCAGCGCTGGGGCCCACAGGCTCCGCCTTTCTTTGTTGTCTGTTTCTAAGGAGCTGATAAGGGGGCCTTTTCTGCCCTGCATGCACCCTGCAGGTGAAGTCTGTCTAGGATACTGTGGGGCTCTCCGCACACCAGTGGCTCTTTTTTAAATGCTGAGAGTAAACTAAGCTGTTCTGAGCAGGACCAGTTTGGGGAACTTTGTGGGGACAGGTGACCGTGAAAATGTTGATGCCCGTGGATAGTACCCAGGCAAGCTGACAGGCTCTGGGGACAAGCTGACAGAGGTGGCCTTGCAGGTGCCATTTTCCCCCTGGCCTCAGCCCACCTACAAGCTGTGCTCCAAAGAGTCAATAAGAAGTTAAATGGCTCAAATGCAAAATGCTCGTCTCTCGGAAGCAGTGTTTGAGCTGGTCCTGCGGGTACCAGCTAGCCCACAAAATTTGATTTCCTCCCTGGGGTTGCTGGCTTTCACATTAGTGATGACAACGTGCATGTTGAGTCCCAGCACGGGGCCAGCTCCAGGGGAAAGGGAGCCAGACAGAAGCTCCCCCGCCCCCACTCCAGACAAGTCAGCGTGAGGGAGTCCCGGGGGGGCAGCACTTGTCTTCAGTTAACTCTCACCCCTCCATCTCTGTGCCCTCCTCTCCCTGGGTGGAAGTCCCAGACTCTGACAGTGCCTGTCCTTCAGGGATGGGGTCCCACGGGCCTCCACCCCTCTATCCCGGGCCTCCAGCCTCCCAGGGCCCTGTAGGATCGGTGCAGGCTGGGGGCCAAGCCCCCTGGCTGAGCGCCCTGGAAGAACAGCAGCAGGTGAGAGGTGGCGGCCCTGCCTTGCCGGCTTTAGGACGGCCAATATCATGTCACTCCAAGGGATTTGCCTCCTCTGTCAGACAGAGGCACTGGGCCCAGACCACCTCATACAGGACATGAGCATTTTTAAAAAGAAAATATTGGTGAACCCTAATGAATATCTACCTGATAGACTTTCAGGCAGCATCATGAGACATAAATGAACACATGGGCAGTTGAGAAGAAGCTACTTTGAGGCCAGTTGCCCACAGTCCTCTCTCCTCAGCCACTGCTGATTTTTGGTACCTTTCCTTTCCCACCGCACAAGTTCTGAAAGCCCCAAGCTTCCCCGGACGGCCTCAGGTCAGCGAGGCCAGAGCTCGCTCAGCCAATGAGACAAACCAGAGTGGCTGTTTATAAACCCATGTGTTGGTGAAACTGAGACCTCCTGTTCTGGGAAGCCCCCCAGGTCACTGAGCCCCATGTCTGCACACAGCTAAGTAAATCGGACTCCCTGGGGCCCACCAGGACACAGTCCACGACATGGCCCATACCATTAGCACAGTTAGGAATTCTTAAGTGCGACACAGATTGGCCATTATCTGTGAATGCCCTTGACTTCTATTAATATATTATTGTTTTATTATCTCAATTCTCTCATTGACCTCCTGTCAATGTAATTGCAATTCTACATTCCTCCTGGAGGCCATTGGAACTTCCAGTGTTTTCTCTAGAGCTGTGTCTACTCTATTTTAAGCAAATCCAGGATGGGGAGGAAGATGATGGCCCCTGATACAATGAAGTGTTTTACTTTATAACAGATTTTCTCTAGGTTCACTTTCAGTAGAAAAGAGTACACAATGTGTACTCAGTATAGATTTCATAAGTGAATGCTTATTATCCTATATGCAGGCAACTTTTCAAAAACTCCTTAGTCCAAAAAGCAAGGCTTTCCTACAAGGATAATGAGCACAGTATAAAGAGCAAGAAGGCCCCCCTAAAAATCTTACCAGAGAGAAAACCTGGCAGCCACACTTGCACACCACGAGGACGATCTGCCCACAGAGCTCAGCACATGCAAACCGTGGAGGACCGCACACTGCATGAGCAGGCAACCCTGGGTGACCCTCCAGGCTTCGGACGGGGGGCTCCAGCACTTGCCCTGGGTGACCCTCCAGGCTGGGGACAGACACTGGAAGCATGCACCGATCCACTCTTTGGAATTGACTTCTCTGTCCCTTGCCAAGCTCTCGGTAACATCAGTGTCCCAGCTTGTGTCCCGGCCTCTGGGCCCAGCACCAGGCTGGACTCCGGGCAGTTAGAATGTTTCGGGTGTGGTTTCCACCACCTCAGGCAGGTGGTCTGGAGACATTCTGGTGGTAACAATGGGAGGAGGGTGCTACTGGCATCTGGTGAGTAAAGGCCAGGGATGCTGCTACACATCCTATGAGACGGAGGCTCGGCCTCTTCCACCGAGGCTGATCTGCTCCAGGTGAGGAGACGAGGCGCGGCGGAGCACACCTGATCCCACAGGGAACGTGTGCAGAAGAGCTCTACGCTGAGCGCCGCGGAGGCTGGGCGGAGGGGGGGAGATCGAGGGCCGCGGCGGCCTCTGAACCCACCTCTCTCAACACCAGGTGTAAAGGTTGTACTTCTACCACTGGCGGGGCTCTTCCTACCCCTTCTTCCCTTGGACCTAGAATCTCCTCTCTTCTCCTTTCCCGGTTTTAAATTAGGAATATTTGGTGGTACGATCATGTATGTTTAAAACCAAACAGAAATTTCCTGTTCCCTAGCACAAAATAAAATTCAAGTTTATAAAAGGGCCTGTAAAATCTCATAATCAAGCCCATTAGCCAAGCAAAATGCTCCCCTTTGATTTCGCGGTGTTTAGTTTTCTTTTCTTAGCACCACTTCATTAGCGCGCTTTTAATGGATGTTCTCCCAGCCTGCTGCTTGAAATTGCTGAAGAAGAAAAACACGACTTCATAAAGTACAAGATACAAGGGAAATATCCCNGCCGCACAGGGACATGCCGCCTGGTCCCAGACACCGCGGCCGACTGCAGCGTCGGAATCTTCTACCGCATTTTTGCTCCCTGGCCTCGTTGCTGGCCTCGCTAATTTCCAGCTCTGTGCTGCTTCAGAAGACCAGATTTTCTTGATTAATAACAAAAGGTTTTGTTGGGATCAGAGCTGTTTCCCACCATCTCTATGCAAACCCGGCAACACAAACTGTGTACATTAGCATTTCAAGGCACTTCGTATTACTGATGGCAAGAAAAGCCCCTCTTGGTGGGTAAAATCTATTTTGTCCTCTCTTGTGACATCTGTTCTAACTTTTAAAGCCAGAAAGGAAACTAGATAATGCCAGAGTCCTTTGATTTACAGCACTTGCCCTTCGGAAGCTGCGGCTCTCTCTGAAAGCACGAAACCTTTCGGGACAGAAGCGGGAATCTACGGATTCCGTTCCCGCGGGAGAGAGCCGCAGAAGTGATTCTGAACTGGCCATTCAAACTTTTAATTGTCCTTTTCATGATTTTTTAGTTACATTTTCAATTACTTCTAAAATTCCCAAAACCGAGTCTCTTAAACTTCAAATTGGGGTGGGGGGGGGGGGAGGGGAATGTGAATGTTTATCGCTACATATGCTATTGCGTTTCTTCTCTAATTCCCCCAAAGCTAAGTTTGCTTTCGTGGAGGGAGGAAATTGAAGCACATTCGTTTAGGCAACTGAAATAAGTGTGCGAATATGGAAGACAGTGACAGGATAAAGAGGAAAGGAGTCCATCAGATAGCTGCCTCCTCCCATCTGCGCTGCAAGAGCTGGGGTCCCTTACCCTGGTCAGCCCCGGAACAAAGCTGAAGGCAGAGCCCAGCCGGTTCCCATTCACTATTCATTCAGGGGTCCATCCGCTCCACATGCATGCAGCCCTCTGCGTGCTAAATCAGGGCCTTCTCCCAGGATTGACATGGTAATGAAGTCCTGGTGCTGCCCGAGAAAGGACCGCCCTAGGGATGCCCCTCTGACAAATCCACCCTTTTCACCCCATTGAGGCGCCAAAATTATCTCATAACATTACAACATCTGTGCACAGGACTCCTGCCTTTTGGATCTGGGCCTGTTTATCACGTGGCCAAGCCTCCCACGCAGCTCCCTCGAGGTGGGGCGCCAGCCTCTGGCTCCCTCCCTCTGTGTCCTCAGCCCTGGGGCTCCAGCTTTGTCCAGAAGTGCAGAGGCCTGGGTGCTGAGAGTTAAAGGTGGACCGAAGAGTTAAACTACATCATGTGAACTTGCTGTCAGAGAACCTTGTAATTAGTTCAGCAAGGAAAACCAGACAAGGTGGGGTGTGGTGGGGGGGCAGGGCAGTGGGGGAAGTGAGGAGAAGTTAGCTCATGAATTTTGCTCAGGCTCTAGCAAATGACATTTGCTCAACTAATAAGTGTATTTGAACTTTATTTAAACTGGCCCAGGTCAATAACATCTAAGGGGGAGCATGAGATTGGGGGAATTTATAAAAGATTGCACCATCTGCAACTTATATGTGCTCTGCCCTGATACAATGATTTCATTTAATTTGATTTGACATTTAAGAGCCTTTTTTGGAAGGAAAAATGAGTATTTCTATATTCGATTTGCAATAACCTCACCTGACTCTGCTCATAGCCAAGACGAATAAATGTCACGTTCATTGCAAACAGTTGTGAGCCATCCTGGGGACAGGCCAGAGGGGACAGGCTGAGGGCCTTCAGCAAATGTTCCCGCGGCACATCGAAGAGCCGGTGGGCTGTGAGAGCTCAGGCTTGTTTTGTGTTGATTCCTGTGTCCAAATGCAAGTGATGGTTTGGATAAAATGTTCTTCACCACATGCGATGGATTTTTGGCTGCCAAGGGAAGCACAGAGCAGCTCATTCAGCCATGCCTGCACTGCAGGGCCGCAGAGCTGAGGCCAGTGTGACCCCAGCTCTTTGCCAATGTCCCATTCCCTCTTTCAGCATCTTTCACAAGCCTATAGGTCAAGATCAAGCTGTTCTGACATCACAGGCCCTGCAAATGCCTCCCTGGCCAATATTTTTCCTTCAACCATCCTTGAAAAAAGCAGCTCTCTGGTTGCTGACCTCCAGGGTCTACAGGCTCATGGGACAAAAAAAAAGCAGGAGGTGGAGGCCTTTGGTGGTTATGTCATGTTCTGGACCCTCCACTCAGAACACTGGGTGTGAGACCCACAGGATGTACCCCAGAAAAGTCTCCTAAATGGGTCTCCTGCGCTCATCCTTCAGTCACCACCTGGCTTCAGCCCTCCGAACAGCTCATCTGGGAAGGTGCAGGACCCTCCTAATGAAACCCCTGAAACCAGTCACCCTCCACCTCAGCCTCCACCCAGCAGCCCAGCCAGGCTCCCAAAGTAGTGGCCCCAGACTTGCTACACACTGAATGCTGATGGGGTCCCACCCAGAGTCTGAGGCCACTGGTCTGGGGAGCAGCCAGGCTGAGAACTTGGGTCCTGCCATGTAGGTCTGATCCCTGTGTCCCCCATGCTCAGGGGCTCTTCAGAGATGTCCCCCTGCCCCTCAGGCCTTCCTGAGTGAGTCTCAGGGCCTTCCTGGGCTCCTCACCCATCCGCCACCAGTGTCCTTAGAACCCTGGCCCTACCCTGGACCCTAAGCTTTCAAGGGCCCCACACTGACCCTACTTGGTTGAGCTCCTCCCCACAAGGGTACGTGTCTGTTCTGGGTTGAATTGTTTCCTCCCCAAATCCTTTTGCTGGGGTCCTAACCTCCAGAACCTCAGAGTGGGACCCTATTCGGGGATAGGGTTTTACAGAGCAAATCAGAGGAAAGTCATTAGGGTGGGCCCTGATCCAGTATGACTAGTGTCCTTGTAAAACTGGAAATCGGGACACACACACACACACACACACACACGGGGAATGCCATCTGAACATGAAGATGGCATCCACGAGCCAAGGAGCGGGGCCTGGAGCCGACTCCCGCTCATGGCCTCCGAAGGAACCAGCCCTGAGACCTTGCTCTCAGACTTCCAGCCTCCAGGGTCACGAACAATGCATTTCTGTTGTTCAGGCGCCCTAGTCTGTGGGGCTGTGCCAGCCAGCCCAGAAACAGATGCTGGGACTGCAGGGCCAGGGGGTCCACCCACAGGGAGACCACACCCCAGCTTCTAAACCATGTCCTGGATGCCTACAACCCCAGAAATTTCTGCCAGAGGGCTGGGCTCCACTCCTGGGCTCTCCCCAAGGGACCACACCACTGCTAAGCACACCTCAAGGCCCAGCTTTTGTGGGCTGTGGAACAGGAGCTTGCATTCAAGGGCCGGGGTGTCCACAGGCACCTTGAAAGGCCTTCATAATTCCGTGCAGACCCAGAGGTTGGAAGAGGAAGGGGGAGCCGTAGGCCAGGGGCCCCTGCTGCCCCCTTACTCTGGGCCTCATGACCATCAGTGGGCCTGCACCCTTTGACTCCCATCAAGGCTGTCACCCTCCTTCTCAGGGCAAGAGTGTCAGGGGCAGCAGGGAAAGTGACGGGGAGGTGGCCCTTGTCCCAGGCCACAGAGTTTCTTCCCAGGGTGACAGGAGGCTATGGATCTAGAAGATCTCCATTTTCCCAGCCACCTCTCTCCGGTTTATTACTTCACCAAGACTTACTTTCTCTCACACCATAGCCATGCCCTTAGCCAAAGCCCTTTCCAAGTTTCCAGTGCAGGCCACCAGCTGGTGAAGAGGCCTTCTGAGCACTACAGGGCGGTCAGCGCAGTGGGGGCGAAGCTGCCCCCCAGTGTGTGACCCACCCCGCATGAGCCTGGGTGAGGAGGTGCCCACACAGTCTTCAGCACAGCATGTTCCTGGAGCTGTGCCTCTCTGCCCAGTGCCCCCAGTCCCTACCGCAGGCCTCAGTGGGCAGCAGGCGCTGGAGCTGAGAGCTCTCGTCCCACCAGGCCCCCTCAGCCTGACTGCCCGACAAGCCCAGGCACCCAGTGGGCCACAGCCTCTGAGGTCATGGGGCATTGCTTTTTGGCCAGCGTTTGTGTGCCTCGGTCTGGCTAGAAGCCCTTGCCCCCAGGCCACCTGGCCTTGCATCACTGGCAGCCCCTCCCCCTGCACCCCCCAAGCCTTACCTGCCTCAACTCCACCTCGAAGGACCCGCAGAAACAACAGTATGTGGGTCACCTGACACTGCAAACCTGAGGCGGCCCCCGGCTCCACAGGCTTGGCTCCTCTGTCCTCCGAGGGCAAAGTCACAGCCTCAGTGCTGGGAGGGCTGAGGGCCCTTGTTCAGGGGCCCTCCTAGACCCTCCGCTCCTCCTCCAATCATCAGCTCAGTATCCTGAGCCCTTCCTGCTCCTTCCTGCACCCTGTCTGACACTAACTTTCCAGCCCCACTGGCCACTGTGGAGCCCATAGCTTACAAGACCTCACCTACCGCATGTCCACTTTCACACAGCCTGCAAAGAAATTCAGGGCAGACAACTGGGTGATGCGGGACTCCATGGAGAGACGCCACACCGCGGAGAGGAGAGTACCCAGCCAGTGGCCAGCACCAAGGCCTCAATGAGGGCAGCAGGGTCCCCAGCCCCAGCCCAGCTGTGCCCACTTCCAGGCCCAGCGAGAATGTTGTTGCTCTGGGCCCTCACGTTAGAGAACTGTGCTGTCTTGGTCCCGATGACCCGGCAATCTCTGCGCAGGCCTGAACTGTTTCCTGGGTTCTAATTTACCAGTGTTTTTGTTTTGTTTTTTGCTTTCCCCATTTCATGACCTTCCTAAATTATTGCTCACTGCTTCTCCAGAAGTCCAGCTTATAATAGCCAAATAGTCTGTACACTCTGGTCTCATTACAAAACCTATTTATCTTCCTTAAATATCCCAGAGCAGTAAAACTAAAAATATTATCAAGTTATTTTGGCTGAAGTTACCAACAGCCTTTCCATAGCCCTTAACTTCCTCCTTTTCTTTGACCTGGGTTTAAAGGAAAAAATACATGTAAGGATCACTCTGGCGACCTCCTTTTCGGAAAAATGTCACATGACCATCATTTTCCTTCTTGTCTGTCAGTATCTCCCCGATGTGGGGCAGTCGGTGCTCCACGATGCCTCCGCATTCGCAGGTCCCTTACCTCAAGGTCCTTACTTTTCCTGGCAGCCAACCCCCAACCAATCATACCTATGGTTTGACAGCACAGCTCACTTGTCTTCGTCAGCCAGACCCTGGCCTGCAGGTATTGTTGAATGAGCTGTTCGGTGGGTGTCTTCTGGATGGCCTCCCCTACCCCTCTCTCCATTCCCTGTTCAGCTACACAACCCCTGTTATGACATCCCCCCCTTCCAGATTCCTGCACTCCAAGGTGTCACCACCTTTCCCACCCTGGCCCACCCCACAAGCCACCACCCAGAGACTGCCAATCACCAGGACAGGGAAGGATGCACACATGGCCCTTTACATTTTTCAAACTCACAGTGTATTAATACTCAGCAAAACCACCTTAGCACCCAGAAATTCCACTGTAATCATTCAGTGGGTGCCCACCAGCCACACACTAACAAAATCATGCAAGACATAAATACAGAGAGCATGGTGTCTGACCTCAAAGGGCTCCCCGCCTGGTGAGGAGGAGACACAGACACGGGGAGAACGCACATGCAGGGGACTCAGGGCACGAGCAGAGAGGAGCACAGGGGCGGGGGGCGCCTGAGGGGAGGGGTCCTTCAAGGGTGGGAGGGCCTGGAGAGTTGTAAGAGTGAAGGGCACATTTGAGCAGGCCCTTGAAGGATGAGAAAATCTTGCCAGAACGAGAAAAGAGAAGGGGGTCCAGGCAGAGGGGTTAGGGGAGCTCTGGTATTTCCTTACCTCCTTCAGTGAATCTGGGCTTAGGTGGTACTGACAGGTAATGGGTCAGCCCAGTTCAGGACTAGGGTGAAGATTTGAGAGGCCTTGAGTGAAACATTAAAGGGGATGTCAAAAACTCAGTGGTCAAGATAAATCATATTTTACTGAAATATTTAAGAAACCAAAATTAATGCAAAAATCCCTGGTGAACAAAATACCTTATTTTTATGTAAAGATCAGATCAGTGTTACTGATTTCTCCTCCTGTTTCTGGCTCATTTTCACTGTGAAGACACCACTTTTTAAGTGTTCACAGCTATGTGTATTTGTACACTTATTTTTACCAATTCTCTTGATTTTATTTCTGGGGTAAATGAGAGGAATAAAAATATGCAAAGATAGTTTGAACCAAAAGCTCATTCATTCCTGTCTTGGTCTCTAGCAGGCTGTTCTGTCTACAAAGTCCCTCCACCTTTTGGGAAATCAAAACATTCTTAACTAAATGTTTTAATTTAGAAGGAGCTGGAAGCTTTCCTTCACATTGAACACGTTCCACGCCCTTTTCCTCTGTTACTCCACGCACAAGTCGAATGCACATGCCAAAGGCTCAAAGCTGGCCTGGGACCCTGCGGATGTGTGTGCATCCTGCAGGAAGCTGCAGAGCTACACAGGAAGCTGCAGTTACGAGAGGGCTGGGCTTCTGCGCACGTGGACAACGCTGGCCTGAGTAACTCGGGGCTTATCAAAAGAAGGTAGATGGGGTGAATCAGGTTGTAGGTTCTAAAGGAAAAGGGAGGAGGCGGCACCAGTGCTACTGGCGCCCCAGCACTTTCGCTAGACACAGACAGAAACGGGACAGGTGGCCATGGGGCCGGCCCACCAACAGGGCCCCTGCAGCTGGGCCCAGAGCCCCTCTCTTCGGGAACCGAGCACCTGCAGCTGTGGGTGCAGGCTTTCTCCTGTGCCTCCACCCTCCTTTATACCCACCTAACATTCACTTGTTACAAGTTATGGTCAAGGGGCTTCTATCATTCCCAACTCCTTAACTTTTCCAGATAATTACTATTTTGAAGGAAGTTTCTTACTCTGGGATCCTATTGAAGAAGTGAACCTACTTGCAGAGTTTAGGAAGATTTTCAAATTCCTATTGCAGCTTTCAATTTCAACTAAGTTTAAACAAAGCTTACCACTAGCAACTACATATTTAAAATGTATATTTCAGTAAAGGTGAATCAATTCAGTTCTGCCGGCCTGGTAATGCAACACAGGGGAGAGTTAGGGGTGCAGAAACTGTACCCCACTGAGATCTACCTCAAGCAAGGACAGGGCCATTCCTGTCTACTAGGTACCCGTGTTCTCTGGAGACCCCAGCAGCAGCTACCATGCCTGGCCACATGCATGAGCTGCTTTGCTGTCAGAACCACCAGCTAACCCGTGCGAGCCAGGCGCCTCTCCATTCAAAGGCCACAAATGCCTCCTGAAGCGGAGCATAAAGGGAAAAGCTCAGAGGAAAGGATTTCCCCCTTCTGTGACCCTGAAAGAGACCCAATTGTAGCCTGCAGGCTGGATGGAAAGATTCAGACAAAAATCACAGGACTGAGAGGACAAAAGGTCATACTTGGTTTCCATGGTGAGGTGGGGAGCCTGTTTACCGCAGAGTTAAGAAAGCTGCACTGCAGTCCTACCGCATACCTGCTGCATGCCTGAGGTCCACTCTGAGCCTCAGTGTCATCGTTGGGACAGGGCTGGGGCTGACAGTGCCGTGACTCGCCCCCCTCATCTCCGGCTCACTGCTGTCCTCACCTCCTGTCCAGTTTCCTCTTCCCCTCCCACCAGGGAGCACTGAGGAGTGAATCTCACCCTGTCCCCCTACCTGCTTCAGAATCACCCCTGACCACCTACATCAGGTGCTCACCTGCGAGGAACACCGCGGCCCACAGGGCCAGCCCCACCCTCCTGGGGCCTCGGGACACGGCCTCTCCCGGGCTCCCACCTTAATGCCTGCGGATCCTCAATGCCCCGTGCCCCCGTCTCTCGGCCTGGACTCCCTGCCCAGTGCTCAGACGGCCAAAGTGACAAGAGTATGCCCACCTCTGGAGGAAGGAGCACAGAAGGTAGACAGGCGGAGGCGTTTCCACAGCCCTGGCGTGGCGTCACCCGCTACCTGTCATCATCAGCGTCACCATCACTGCTGCCCACCTCCCCAGGAAGCCCTGACCCCGAGCCCCGCCTCCTCCGGTTGGGATGAGCTGCCTGCTCTGCGTCTCCGCCCACCAGCCAAGCCTCTCTCCTTGAACTGACCCTGTGGCCTCGCAACATTCACCTTCATTCATCTGCTTCACCTACAAATTTGCATCTTCCGTCTCTGCTTCCTGGGCTCCTATTCCAGTAGCTGCCACAGCACCAGTGCCCACGTTACAGGCATGAATGAAGAACATTCCATAGCGGGCCCGGAGTGTGACTGTGGCCCTTCTCAGACGGCTGGCAGTGGTGCCGCTCTGCAACCTCCCCCCGAGCCTCGGAGGTCTGCATGTCTCCAGATCACTGGGCGTCCGACAGCCTCCCCCTTGCCACAGCCTCCGCTCACCGGCCTTCGACCAAAAGCCAAGCGGAGGGTTGAACCTGTATGATACCTCTGTTCACACCAGTGTCTCCCTGCTTCGTGGGCCTGACAATTCCCGCCAGCTTTTCAGAAAACCAAGGGCTCGGTTTTCCTTACAAGCGGATGTCTTTGGCATCCCCATCAGAAAGGAGGCTTAGGCTGGATTTCCTGGTCACCGTTCACCTTAACCTCTGAGCTTGGCGACTACTTTGTAGTAGGAAGCAGCACATGGGCTGACGTCTCAGGAGGCAGGCCCGCCCTGCACACTGCTTGCCTCGGTGGGATGACGGCTGAGCGGTTCTGTGCAGAAAAGGAGATGAGCAGCTGACACCTTTCATCCTCCTTGACTTCTATGGGAAGATGTTCCCCGATCACACCTGACCTTTCCCCAGTTCACACACTTTCCCCGGTTCAATAACTTCAATAACCTTAAGCTTTCTTCAAAGTATCATTAACTCAGCAAGAAGAAAGAAACTGTTTGGGGCCCTGGAATGTGAGCAAGGCTCCATCCTCACCGGAGAAAGGGCCAGGAGGATCCGCGAGCAGAGCTGTTTTACAGATGACAGGAGGAGCTGAACATTAAGATTTTCAGTGGCACTTCCCTCCTGGGGCAAACTCCCAACTTCACGACCCGTCGTGGACCAGCTCAGAAAGTGCTGATTTTCATTAGGAGATAAATCAGAAAGTTCAGGGCATTATAGGAATGCCTCCCAGGAATAAGCTTCTAAAGAAGTAGCATTAAAATGGGTGAAAAGGAAATGCATCCTCTCACCCCCTTTTGAAATGGCAGTGATAGCATTCAGAATTAAGGAGATTTCCGAAAGTGTAGTACCTTTGGGCATAAAACAGGACAAGATGTTCTATCTAACAGTTCACACTGTACCTGCTTCCTTGCCTGGCTGCAGCTCTGCCCTGCTTTGGGAAATGAGTAATAAGAGGGCGGTAACAGCAAGCTGACCTCCACGGCCTTCAGCATTACAGGTCAATCGATTAAAGCAACAAGATAGCGGCTGACATTCGTGCTTCGCTCCCCCCGCTTGTTGGGTACCACAAGCCCAGAGGGGCCATGTGTGTCTGCCCACTCAGGCCCTCCTATTGTCCTGTTGTCCAAAGGCACCACATAGCAGTAAGCCTGATGGTGGGCTTTGGCTCTCTCAAGCCCAATGTAGAGTGTTCTAGAGGGAGAAGATTTGTCAGTAAATAATGCAATTATGCTTTACACGAGGCTTCATTCCAGAGAAAAAGGTGTGTACGTCCAGGTCTTTCTGTTCTTAGGGTGTCGTGAATATCTGTGAATCGGCTATGTGTCTTTTATTCATTGCTGCTTTAGTTCTGCTGAGAATAAATTCAGTCATTCATTTGTTCCATGAATATTAACGGAGTCCTTCTGTGTGCGTGGCAGGTGCTAGTGCTAGGGAAACAAGAGTGAACAGATCTCTAAGGGGCTTACCTAGTCTGGGAGAAGCGGAGATACCAACGACCAGGGTCCAAACACTCACCCCCTGGGCCCTCTTCGTGCCTTGAGAGGCATCTGCACAGGGCAGGGCGGAGCCTTCGGGGGGGAAATGGCCTCTTCTAACTGGAAGCTTAGGTCACAGAAGGCTTTGCAAACCCAAGGCATAAATGGGAGATCTTCCAGACTAGGCTGAGCAGTGGGGGAGGCACGGGGGTCTGCGGAAAGCTGAGGAGCCCCGGGGTGGTGTGCTCTGGCCTATTCAGAGGACTGAGGACAGTTGGGACCAAGCATTGAGTGGCAAGGATTGTGCAGGCCAGTCAGGCTGAAGAAGTAGGCTGTGGGCCACTGTCCTGCAGCGCTGGGTCTTCTGTCCCCTGTGGGAACCACACAGAGTGACCTGCTCAGATCTGAGTTTCTAAAGACAACTCTCGTGGCAGCTGAGGATGAGAACTACAGTGACTCCTGTAATCATGCACTTGCTGTTTTTTTCTGTGTGGGGGCCCCTGGGCAGAGCAGGCAAGCGGGGAGGCACTGCACCTGCTCCTCCCTCTGATGAAGCCACCTCACCCTGGGCCAGACCCAAGGAAAATGCTCTGTGCTTTGAGTAGGTCACATCAGCCAAGGGACCGTGCCATCCCCAGGACCCCTCCTGAACCTGAGAAGCTCATGTCCCTATGCCCTGCCTCTGGAGATACTGGGCAGTGGCACCAGGGGGTGGAAGGATCCCCTTTCTTGGAGATACGTAGGGAAAGTTAGCCAAGTCAGCAGCTAGTCTCAAATCACCCACCCCACAGTGGGCCCTGTGAGGACAGAGATGAGTAAGAAATACATATGACCTCTGAGGGGTCGCTGTGGTTCAGGCGGGCGATGACAAGACCCTGACGTGGTTCTTCCCAGGTGAGGCACAGAAGCGTTAGAAGGACCCACACCGGTCACAGGGCTGGGAGCCTCTGTGGGAGAGCTGATTTAGGATCAGGTCTTAAAGGTATCCTGTGAAGCTGTGGGGACGAGGCATTCCAGGGCCTGTGAGCAGAGGTGCAGGGGCCAGAGAGCACAGAGCCCGATGGGGTGGAGACCTGGAGCCACGCCAGGATGGGGGACTCCAGAGAAGTCCTGATGCAGAAGCCCTACTTCTTTCTGTCAACTGTGGTCAACTGTTGAGAGGCTAGGAGCAGAACAGCAGGACCCCAGTTTCGCTAGAAGAAAACTACTCTGGTCTCATTTGTGTACAAGACTGACTGGGAGGAGGCTGGCAGCTCTCAGAAGTTGTAACTGAGTACCTGCTGTGTCCTTACATAGCCAACTGCTGCCCTTCACACCAACCTGTCCCTTATGTCCAGTTCCACTACCCTTCACCACAGGGCTGTGAAGTCACTCATCTGGTGCGCACAGATAGTGAGCAGAGAGGCACCAGTGTTTTATAACAGTTGCACATTGTGTTTTTGCTCAGTTGCCACGTGTCAGTGGAAACCTTTGCAGCATCCAAAGCGTCACCAACCAGTTTGTAGTTCAGCAACCATGTGGCACATTTGCCCAGGACCTTCGGGGTTCACACCTGCCCAAGTGTTGTTCCTCATTGTTAGTGGCATTCCCTGCTGCTCTCATAAGTGTGCTGTCGCAGAGAATCAATTCCATAGTTACTCTAGTCCTGACACCGTTGCTTGGAAATCCAAAGCTTTGTTTGTTGGGGTTGGAGGTGCATTTGTTACATGCGCATGTCTGCCACGTGCCCAGCCCATGCACTCTCTGGAGGGGAGCAGAGACGGGGCCCCTCTCACCTTTTCACTTCTCAGCATGACATGTGCTGTGTGGAGTGAACATTGAGTGCAAATTTGGCTTAAGTGGCAAACATTTATTTCTCTCAGTTCAGGAAGCTGTACTGCAGCAGATTCAGTGGCTAGTGAGGGCTCCCCACCTGGTTGGCAGCCAGCTTGCCACATCCCTGCATGCTCTCTGGTGGCTCTGCTTGTAAGGGCACTGATCTCAGCACGGGGGCCCCACCCTCATGACCTCAGTCGCTCCCAAACACCTCCCAAAGGCCACACCTCCCAAAGGCCCCGCCCCCAAATACCCTGGGCAGACACAAACATTTAGTCTACAGTAGGGGGAGCAGGGTAAAAAAACAGAGCTGGCATTCCCTTATGTTTCCAAAGGGTTTTACATAGGAAAGAAAACACTACTTATTAAGAACAATCATGACATCTCTGAGGAGTCCTGCACTGTCTTTCCTCTATCCACCGGCGATGCTGTTTCTGGTAGGAAGCAGATCACCTCAAAATACAATTTTCTTTCCAGACGTACTGTCAGGTAAAAACGTCAAAGGACGTACTGTCAGGTAAAAACTGAATAGAACAAAACTCAGACCATGTGAGTGTCACACTTTTGTAAAAAAACAATCAGTTGCTGGTTTTCTCCTGATCCGTCCAGGGTCAAATCACATTTGGCATCCTTGCCAGTGGTCAGACTCCATTCATAAATGGGTGCCCACGTCTGTGCTTGGCTGTGGGTGTACTTCTATGAGGGCTGCATGTCCTTCAACCTTTCTTTCTACTTGAGATTCCTTGCTCAGCCAGATGTCTTCTGATACACTCACAGACCTACGTATCACCCCATTCCTGCTCATTTAGAGGGAATTGGAGACACTGACCTTGTATTTTTAAATGAGGATCAATGAAGAGACTTTGACGTAGAGAATTTTTCATGACAGCCAGCTTTCCAAGTGCATCCTCATGCATTCCCTGGGTTGCTCTGTGCCACGCACTGCTGTAGGCTCAGGGGTACAGGGGTGCAAAGGATAAATGAGGCCCTATTCTGCAGGAGTGTATTCCATGAGAACACGCCAAGAGCATTAGGTGCCATACAGAGGACCAAACGAGGCTGGCAGGAGACAGCACGATTCTGCGGAGGTTGCCTTACCCATGTGCTAAACCCTGACTAACTGGAGTGATAAACACTGAGGCCCATACAGCTGCTTGTGCACCACCCCCTGGGGACAGGGTGGGCATCCCTGCAAACCTCTTTCTCTTTCCTCCCTCCCAGGCCCTTCAAACCTTCAGTACACAGTCAAGACATAAACAAAACACAAAAGTCTCATCCAGTCTTCAAGCTCCACTTTATGGCCTAAAAAGCAAAATTTTCCTGAAACATAACAAGCTACTTCAGCTGAAGAAAAGAGTCAGCTCTAAAAGGCAAGGAATCCAGCCTATGTCCTTTGTCACGTGAACCCCAAATACCGAGAAACCATCCCAGGACGGAGGCCAGGGCAAACCAGCTGCTTCAAAGAGGCTGTTCTTTAAGTGAGACCCTAGGGCCGCCGAGGGAGAAGAGGGAGCTCCTTGCGGCTGTCCAGGGGTGAGTGCCAGCTCGGCCCTCACCGCAGGACCCGCGGCATGAAAATCCCGTTTGCAGAGACTGCCAAGTGTCTACGGATCGGCGCTGCGATGTCCTTTCTAACTAGCCAGACTTTCGTGCCACTTAAAAAGAAAAAAGGGAAAGACCCAAGCTAAAGGTTCGGTAAGCTCACAGTTGTGGAATGAACTGTACCTTTCCCCCCATTGCGGTGGCGGTCACAGCACACCCTGGGCGTGGTTTTCCTCCTGGCTGGCTGGTTTATTTCCAACCAGGCGGAGACACGTCCATCAGCCCCTCTGGGCAGAGAAGCTCAGCATTCTTACCTCCTCGTTCATCCTCTTCATTCCTTCTTCCTCCACTTTCTGAGCAACAGCTCTCCTGTTCGGCGCCAGGGAGAAAATGGCTTTTTCAACGTGATCCCTGCTTCCTGGAGCTGATCTCCTGCACTTAGGGTGTGAGGAAATCTGGGCCTTTTTTTTCCTGGTGTGTTTAATTTACCATGATTTTGCTAAACAGTGTGAATGTTTACCATATGTTGGTGGTGTGGCAAAACCTCCTGACTCCCCTAAAAAGTCAGGTTGCTGAGTCATGCTGAGTTACGCGCCCAGAGGGAGGGAGGGCACCCAGGGCACCCACAGCAGCTGGAGCAGACGGGGCCGGCACCTTCCTCGGAGGCACAGGCGACGCGGGGAAGGGTGGAGGCGGGCCAGACTCCACCAACGGCGGAACCACCGAAGCTTTCACACAACAGCCGCGTGGTGTTAATACAGGATCGCCTAGAACTCTGCCTACAGAGAATGGTGCAGAGCCATGAGCAAAGATACGTGTAGACAGAAATAGTATGAAATAAAAATGAACAGCAGAACTTCATCATTATCAAAACATAAAGATCACTTAAATTTGATTTCTTCAAAGGCCGTCCTCTGATCTCTCTAATATTGTATAGTTTACATTCAAAGGAACAACCTAATTTATTTTGATTATAAATAATCATGCTTTTAAATGGAACGTGAGTAAACTCAAGTGGTTATTTCCTGTACTTCCAATGTCCCCAAAAGTCAGAAACTGCACTGCATGACCACAGGGCCACTTCCAATCTTATGTACAACCGTAAGATTCACCTGGGTGACCTCATCTAAAATGCAGTTACGTGGTCAATTTCCACCTGGGGTGTGGGTCTGAGGAGTGTTTCTTAAAGCAGAATCCCAGGATTGCCCAGGAATCTTGTGAAAAAATTTAAAGCCTTATTTCTCAGCCCACCCCCAGACTCTTATGGGATATGTAGGGGGCAGGCTACAGATCTGCATTTTCCAGAAGCTTCCAGATCATTCTAGACAGGTTTTCCTTGGCAGTGCTTTCAACAACGAAACAGCAAAGTCCCACCACTGCCTAGACGGCCCGCAGCTTCTGAGCAGACGGGGAAACGTTGCTGTCCTCCACTGGTCAATATCCTCAGTTTTCCCCCGCACTTGACTAAAAGCAGCACAGCGTGTCTCCACCATCCCTCCACCGAACACTTAGTGGCTCTATGACTTGTTAAATAGAAACTCTGAGGAGTCTTGTTATTTAACCTGAGTCTCAGCTCCTTGCTCCCACTAAAATGGAGCCCCTAAAGCTGTCACTGCGTCCCTGGGGCTGCTGGCAGGGTTATGTGCCCACCCACAGGCAGGGGAGCTCCTGCCCGACCCTCTGCTCCTTTACTGCAGTCAACTTACAAGCGACATGAGCCGGGGGCCTCGCTTTCTTCAAGTCCCTGCTCGAATGTCCCCATCTCGGCACAGCCTCCCGGGACCACCCTCTTCGGAGCTGCCCCACCCCCACTGCAGCAGACCTCATCGTCTTCTAGGAACCCGTGCCATGCACTCACCAATTTTGGTTATTTTGTCCCTCCCCACTAGAAGGCAACATCCTGGCCTTCTAAAATGATGGAAAAAAAAAACATTTTGCAGTTTAATTCGTGGATGATTCCTAAGTTGCTAGAAGAGTGCCTGGTGCAAAGTAGGTGGTCGGAAAATACTGACTGGATGAAGGGATGGGTGGGTGGCTGGGTGGATCCCTCTCGCCTTTGAGCTCTGTTTCCTCAGTGCTACCATTCACATTGGCTGTGATTTCTGAGCTTGGAAAACCTGTCTTCTCCTCCAGCCTGAGGTACGATCTGACTTCACAAGGCAGTCACTTCCCTCTTTAAAGCAAACTCTGTCGTTTCATTACTGACATGTTTTCATTAGATCTGTTTGCGTGTTCAACTCATGTAAACATTAATGAAAGGACTATGGAATCAGCTTCCTCCCTGTCTCCTCCTGCTCTCATTCAGGTATGTTTATACGCATACACAACGCCATATACACAATGGTGCGCATCCTCCGTTCCGCGCTCCGCCGGCAACTCCCCCCTGAGGAGACACCCAGATACCAGATTTTTACATTTCCCTTTACCCTCAGTCTGCTCTTCCCTCTGCACAACTTCAGGGTCTTGAGCTAAGACGAAAGTACCCCTCAAAGCCCCCTCCCCACGACATGGCAGAGGCCAGACCCACTCCCACCCAGGGCAGCCTGGGAATGCAGGCATATCTTTAAAAGCATCTCTGAATTGTCAGGTCATTTCCTCTTCCACTGCATCTTTCTCAAAAACAGTCATCTATTCAAAAATGCTTACTGCTGCCAAACATGGTGGTGCCTTCTGGAATCCCTTTGTTCCATCCAAGTCCAGCCTGTCTCTCCAATTCTTGCTATCTCCCCTCACCCACTGGCCACGGCTCTGCCCCAGGCTTCTGGGTCATGACAGCAGGACAGCCAGCAGCATGCCAGAGGTCACATGTGAAAGACTGGCCGGCAGGCCTAAGTGGGCGTATTTTCTTCCTGGTCACACAACTAGACTACACGCCCAGTCCCACTACGGTGGGTTGTGGCCCCATGCCTGAGCTCCAACCCGGTGGGTCTCAGCCAGGGCGATGTTGCCCCCCAGGGGACACCTGGCAATGTCTGGAGACATCTTTGGCTGTCACAATTACAGGAGGGGAGAGAGGCCAAGGAACATCCCACTCAAGACAGCCTCTCACAACACAGAATCTTCCAGCTGGAGGGGGTCAGTAGTGTCAGGGGTGAGAAGCCCTGTTCTAACCAATAGATGCGAGCACAAGTCTGAGCTAACTCCAGGCCTGACCCACACCACCCAGGGGCTGCTCCCCACTTCTCCCTGCTCCCTCCACTTCTCCAGGCCTGCGGTAGATGAGCCCCACACGGTGAACATGGCAGAGCCACAAAGACGGGCCGAGCCTGCATCCCTGAGTCACAGCTCAGGGCAGAGCTGCCTGCCGTTGCTAACACCCTCTTTGGACTTTGAGTGACAGGCGGACCTCAGCCTGGGGAGGTGGTTACACACCCTCGGGTTTGCTTGTTACAGCCGTCCGCACTGCAGCAGCTAACTCAGCCACAGACACCTGCCCTGGAAATGGATTGGGACCTGATAAGAGGAGCAGGCATGCGCAGAACAGTGGAGGGGAGCTGAGGACCCATTTAGGTCCAAGAGGGTCTATGGAAACTGCAGCTTTCGAAAGAGCCCTGCGGTGGCCTACTCTGGCCGTTCTGGTCCTGACGGCTCCACAGCGGTTTGGCTGTGCTCCACATTCTACACGTTATCTTCTCGCCTGTTATCTTAACTAGTCCCAGCTGGTAAATAAAAGCCAGTTCCTACTTCTTTACAGATTCTTAGGCTCTGTCAAAAGGAGTGGTTGTGGCTGTCACAGTGATCATTTACTGAAAAGGTTGTTAGATTTAGCGGATAAAATACGGGGACTATCACTAAAAAAACCCTCATTGTTTACCTGAAAATTAAATGTAAATGGATGTTCTGCATCTTATCTGGCCACCCTATTTATTGAGCATTTACATTCTTCCAGGTAGTACATCTGAAGTGCTTGGAATGTTCAAAATCGCATTCAGAGGGCGGTGCTGTCACCAGTCACACTTATGAACAGGGAAACAGGATCAAAAGGGCCGCCTGCCCTGGCCATGGTGCTGGGACAAGGCACACGCACCCAAGTGTGCAGCTTTCCCCTGGCACACCGCCCAGAAGACGTCCCACGCATGGACCTGTGCAGGGCGCTCCGTCTGTAGCCCCACAGACAGCGTGGCCTTTCTTTCCCCCAAGGGCGGTCATCAGGACACAGCGGCCCATAGGGAACCTGCAGGCATCGGGAGGATGGTTAAGAATATTTTTTTTCAAAATGTCATGTTTCAAACTATGGTAAAATATCTGCAGTACAAGCTTCCTTTTTTAAAGCAGGCAGTTCTCCCAGAGATAATTAAATGAGTCTGGCACACTCTCAGAAAGCCTTAGGAAGTAACTCAGAGAAAAGATTAGACTTTGAAGTCAGACAGGTGTGTGTCCAGATTCCGACTCCAGCATCTCCTGGCTGTGCTGACGCACAGGTTACAGGGCAGTCTTCTGACACATAAGCCAGGAAAGCAAGCGGGTCCCACCTCTGAGGGTCTCTTTCAGCCTTGGTGAGATCAGGCCAAACAATGGCCTGCGCCAAAATGTGGGAGCACCCAAGCTGCCACACGGTGTGGGGTTGAGGCCCTGGGTGGGGGCTTCAGCCCAGCAATTCTCAGGCTCTGTGGTCTCAGCCGAGTCAGGGCACCGTCCCTAGCCCAGTGCCCACACTGGTGACCTGGCACCCCCAGTGCCAAATGTGATGCCCAGACTTGCTTCCCACACAAGGCCCCTTAGATGTCCTTGCCCACAGGCATTCCCCCATGTTACCCTGGTGGGACAGCAAAGGAAAACGCACCCTCAGCTTCAGTCCTGATTCCCTTGTGACACCCCAGCCGTGTGGCTACGGGCTCACCTTTGCACTCAGCCACTTAATCTGCAAAATGGGACCGTTGCTCCCTGCGCTGCTGGTCAATGTGAAAGCCAGAGACAGCAGTGCTGTTAAGTCTGCTAAGTGATTCAAAGGGATGGTGTTGCTCTTGAAAAGATGCTACTTTAAAGGTGAGTGTGTGAGCATTTTTGCTAGATGGCTCTGTCCACAGTCTCAGATAGAATGTCAGTTCCACACGTCTCAGCTTCGCTGCCCAGGAGCCATCCAGGCTCTGGTTAATTGCAGCTTCCGGTTCATTCTCACGGGTTAGATCCCGACATCCTGCATTTCTCAGTGTGCCCAGGCTGCCGGTTCTCAGACTCACTTTGAGGGGTAAATTCCGAGTTGAAATGCTTCCTCTGGTCTTCTACCTTATTTAAACCTCAACATGCAGATGGAGAAGCTGGGAGCCCAGAGCTCACCGCGACTCACCTGGGGACACACTGCAGTCAGGTGTGCAGATGCTCACGAAGCATAAAGAAACAGAGGGCCATGTTAAAGCTGCCCCTAAAGGCCAAGGCTTTTTCAAGGGTTCTTGAAAGGGACAGAGGCGGGAGCCTTTAGCTCCCACCTCCCTCCAAGCACACCCCCCCACACACACTAGCAGTGGCCAAAAGAACTGGGACACTTTATTGCAAGAGTTCTGCTCTTCTGCATTTTATTGGGGCCCCTGACTGGGAATACGGGACTCATGACTTCAAAGCAGGATGTAATGAATTGTAGTTGCATCAACCCATTCCTGCCTCTTTTCTCAGGATCAGAAGTGGCCACGTGGGGATGGGGTCACAGGGCAAGATAGAGGCTTTTGGGCAGCTGCCAACAGCTATTGCCCCTTCTCAGCACTCAAGCCTTACCGTCTTCATACCAGTGGTGTCCTCTGAAGGGCAAACAGTATCACAGGAGACTCTGGACATCAAATCAAGACAATGAGATAAAGAGGTTGGTCCTAACTAGGAAGCATGACAATCCCATACCCAAATTCTAAATGTCTTGTAAAGAAAAAAATGTTAAAATCTCCTACAAGTTTTGATGATGGGAAGTGATGCCTTTGAGATGTTTCTCTGATACAGTTTCTAGAATGTCTGGAGGCACCAGATGCTCTTACACCCTCACTAGGGAAGCTTTAGGCCCTCACTCAGCCACCTTCCTCAACCACTCAGCCTCCTCGTCCTTTCTGGGGCTCTGGAGTCTGTTGGGCCCTTTATCCTACTTGGTTTGGTCCCAAAAAAAATATAAACACCACATTTGTTTATACAGTCTATACCTTGGGGGAAAGTTGGTAAGGATTCTGATTGGTTAAAAAAGGACCTACACTGTATTCCTAAATATGTACTAGACCCTAAGTTGTCAAATAAAACATCATGCATTTCTTTCCAAGGGATGCACTTTTCTTGGCTGTGAGGATGTGCTTTTTTATTCATTATAAATTATGTGTTGTAAAAAAAGTTATTTTCAGGGGAGAAAAGGCCAAATAAGTTATCAATGATTATAATTACAATGCATGCACAAAGTCATTCTTAGAAACTCTGATGCCCCCTCTAATTTTTCTTTTGGTGGCCATCTCATTATCAATGTAACAAACCACTCACAAACGGGGTGGCTTCAGACAACAATTTCCTCTCTCTCGTGATCTTATTGCTTGGCTTCCAGTGAGTGTGTGTGTGGTCAGCCGGTGTTGGAGTGGGGTCATCCTAGGGCTCTTCTGGGCCATCACAAAGCTTTCAATGAGCAATTACAAAGATGCTCCAAAAAACAGAAAACCAAATAGAAGATCTTGGCAAAGAAACAGAAGATATAAAGAGGAAACAAATGGAAATTTTAGAGCTGAAAAATCCAATAGCCAAAGAAAAAAACTCACTGGATGAGCACAAAAGCAAGCTGGAGAGGAGAGAGGAAACAATCAGTGAGCTCAAAGATAAAACAACAGAAAGTACCCAATTCGTACAACCAAAACAAAGTAGAGTAATAAAATAAATGAATAAAAAATAAAAATAAAAAAACCTTAGTCTCATATGTCTGTGTGTGAGACTATAATAAAAGAGCTAATATTCATGTTATTAGGATCCTGGAGAAGAAAGAAGGTGGGGCTGAAAAAGTATGTGAAGAAATAACGATTGAAGATTTTCCAAATTTGGCAAAAGTCTTAAAACCTACAGATTCAAGAAGCTGAGAGAATCCCAAACTGGAATAACACAAAGCAGTCTACACCAAGGTACATCACAGGCACATTTCTGAAAACTAAAGACAAAGAAAGTGGGCAGAGAGGAACAATACTTTATCTACAGAGAAAAAGCAGTTTGAATGACTGCAGATCTCTCATCACAATCCATGGGGCCAGAAGGAAGTGACACAATATGTCAAATGCTGAAAGAAAAGAACTACCAACCCAGAATTTAACATCCAGCAAAAATATCCTTCAGAAATTGAGGGGAAACCAGACCTTCTCGGATGGAGGAAAACTAAGAGAACTTGTCACCAACAAACCTACCCTAAAAGAACATCTAAAGGATGCTCTTGAAACAGAAGAGAAAGTATCAAAGAAAGAACACTAGAACATCAAGAAGGAAGAAAGAACAGGGAAAAAGTAAAAACATAGGTAAATATAACAGACTTACCTTGTCCTCTTAAGTTTTCTGAAAACAAATGTGTTGGTCCTCAGGTCCAAGATGGCTCATTCTTTCCCAGAAGGCAAATTGCACCAACTGCAGGGGTGATTCAATAAGCCAGTTGTTCACCTGAGGAGTCTCAGAGTGTGGTCCCTGCACCCCGCACATTAGCACTTCCTTGTTGAAAGGCTGGTTCCTAAGTTGCTCACTAAACTCTCTGATTCAGCAGTTCCAGAGGTGGGCCCCAGGACTCTGCATGTAAAGGTGGTACATACACTAAGCTTTGAAAAGTCCCCAGATCTAAGTTGACTTTTTGTTAATAAAGGGTCAAGCTCAGTCACTCAGTGTTAACTTCTGAGGAAGGTGAGAACAAAGTGTTTTGCAAATCCCTGGCTTTGGGTAATCCAGCACTGCAGGACTGGAACAAACTGCAAGGTATAAAAGTAATCAACACCCCACATGGGGTCAAGGTCACACACCTTTGCATGGTCACAGAAGGTTGTCCCAGGGAGTTTGGGCCCATTCATCTGTGCCTCAGCTTCTTCTGTAAAATGGGGTCAGCATCTGCCCTGCCTAACTCATCAGGTCAAGGTAAAGGGCAAAACAGGTGAGCTGTGAAAGGCTTGTAAATAATTCATTATTCTTACCCAGTGCAAATGTTTAATCTCCCTTAAAAAGGACCACCATGTGGCTCTTTTTTCTTTAAAATATAATATCTGTGCTCCTCACATAGTTCCAGAAAGGCAGGCATGGTTAAAATAAAATATAGGAGTTAATTCACCTGGCCTTTCCTCCAGGGTCCTGCTGATGGGTGCTGCAGCATGGAAGCAGACCCAGGCCCCTGGTGTCATTGGGTCCTGGCACTGGGAAGATGTTAGGACCCCCAGAATGCTGATAGCAGGTGCCGAGGGACTGCTGCAGGAGTCCCTACAGGTACCTTCTGCTCCCGAAGTCCCCAGCACTTGCCTCCCAGAGGATGCAGCCCTAGATCCTGTCCCCTTTTGCAGAATGGGGTAGCAGTGACACGTGACAGGTATCAAGGGCCTTGCAAAATGTTCTGTGATTTCGGTCTAACTGGGAAAGAGGTATGTAAATTGTCATGGAGATTGGCAGAGTGGGGGTGAGGAAGGGGACACAGTAAAGTGAAAAAAGGACAGGGAAGTGAAAGCCATCCAGCTGTAGGCAGGAGGTCAGGGATGGGTGTCAAAATCATTTTATAAACAAGTCTATCAACTCAACCTAAGATCAGCGATTACAGTTACCGCGCTGGTGCCGCCAGGCCTCAGGTGTGGGGCCGTGCCGGCCTCTGGTCGCCAAAGGGCTATGCCCAAAGCGCCGCCCGCCCAGGACCCGTGTCCGCCAAGCGCACCCCCCTCGGCTCCCCGCCTGGGCCCTGGAGGCGGCCCCGGCGAGGGTCGCGGTGGGGAGGCCACCCCCGTCGGGCGCGCACGTGCTGCGGGGCGGGCGGGTTCCTCCCCTGGTTCCTCCCCACTGAAGTCACGGACTTGGCGCTGCGTCCCGGCTGGCGCGCAAACGTGGCTTCGGCCAGAAAGAAAAAAAGTACACAATGTGTTTCTTGTTAGGGGCTCTCAAGCTGGAGCCTGGGGTTTTGCTTTTGGTGCCGCATTATAATATTAAGACGTAGGTCGATTCCGTGCAAGCCTGCCCTCGTCGCCGTCTGGAGGGGGCTGCGGCGGATTCCCACGGACGCCGGCGGACGCCAAGGAGGCCTGGGCGCTGCGCTCCGACGCGGGGAGGGCGAGGCGGCTGAGGGTCCCAGCTGGGGCCGGACCCCACGACGCGCGCCTCGGGGCGGCGTAGACTCGGCGACGCCAGCCCCGCGCCCGCCAGCTCGCGGGCGGCCCGGGATTGTTTTCCAAGACCTTATCTCTCGCTCAAGTTAATTTTCTTTTTTAATTTGGTGACCGGAACAAAAGTCACAGGAAAATCCTTTGTGAAAGCCAAGCGCGGCCACAAATCGGGGCCCTTCACAGCATTTGTAACTAAATATTTGCTGTGCTGGTAGTTAAATCGGCCCCTCCGCCGAACTTCCCAAACTTTGCTTTCTTTGAACGGAGCTGAAAGGTGATCTCCTTACAGGAAGATCAGACGGTTGAAAGCAATTGGATTTAGCACGGCATTTTTCCTGGTGCCCTTGAGATCCCTGGGCAAACAGGACCGCGCGCCGATCCTAGAAGGAATTAGGGCCGGATCGTGGTGGTGTGGGGGAAGGGATGACTGCTACGCCGTTGTGGTAGCTCAGGCGCGTTGTTAATGCAGTCACTAGCTTGTGCGTCAAGAAGTGGAGGAGCTTGGGCCGGTCTTAAAAAAAATACCCAAAGGGAGAAAAATAAACATCCCCGTGGTTTGCTTTCTGTGGCTCTGCTCCTTTCCTCCCCTCTAGTCGCCCCTATCTAAGGCTGTTTTAGACCCAAATTCGGTTATCTGGTTTCAGAGTAAGGGCCACCTCTTGCCAAGGTATTCAATAAACAAGTAAAGCAAAAACTTGAATCCTTATGTAATCCAGATGCTGTTTCCTCGAAAACCACAACAAACTCTGCTAACCCAGATAAGAGCATCGGGAACAGTTGTGCACCTCCCCCCAACCCCCTTCAGGGCCAGCAGAGGACATCCGTGTTCGGGATTTCTTCTCCAGGACAGCCGACAAGCAACTGCTGCTAACACTCTAAACTGCAGATGAGCGCCCTTGAGGGATCCGGATGCCATAAACTGTCCGGGAATGTTGGCATCTGGCTCTAAAAACGGAAGTTTCCCTAGAGATAAAGCCAGGACCGAAGCGGCGTCTGCGCCCGCAGGCTAACTTGGAAGTCTCTTGATGCGTCTTGATGTTCACAGAAGAAAAATGCAGCATTGGAAAGGGGCTGTGTCTGCCCGGCTTTGGAGTGGTAACGAGGACGCGGACGCGGGTCCGCGGGAGCGCAGAGGCTCGAAGCCACAGTCCCGGCTGCACTTCCTCCCGCCTTCCCTGGGGCGAAGGGGTGGAGAGGTCTGGAGAAATCTGATGTTCTTAGGGCAACCTCCAATAGTTCCGAGGAGAGGGGCGGGGGGCAGTGGGGGGTCCTTCAAAGGTATTTTTAGGAGTCCAGCACCAAAGTCATCCCCGAGAGGATCCAAAGGGATAAATAAATCTCGCCATCCACTAAGCCCTCTTCTCCCCATCCACCTTCCCTCGCGCCAGCCTCACCCTGAACGCCTCGGTTGCAAAACAAAGTAAAACCTTGTGCTTTGGTAACCTCTAAGCCCCAATATGCCTCTTTCTGCAAAAGGAAGATTTCTTTCTTCTTCCTCTCCCGGCTTTTTTCCTTCTGCCCCCGACCCTCCCTCCCCTGGCTTTCCTTCTCGGTCCTCCTTCCTTCCCCCAAATCGCTCGAAACTTAAGACGGGCGGCGGCTGCAGGTGCGCGCGNATCTGCAAAATGGGACCGTTGCTCCCTGCGCTGCTGGTCAATGTGAAAGCCAGAGACAGCAGTGCTGTTAAGTCTGCTAAGTGATTCAAAGGGATGGTGTTGCTCTTGAAAAGATGCTACTTTAAAGGTGAGTGTGTGAGCATTTTTGCTAGATGGCTCTGTCCACAGTCTCAGATAGAATGTCAGTTCCACACGTCTCAGCTTCGCTGCCCAGGAGCCATCCAGGCTCTGGTTAATTGCAGCTTCCGGTTCATTCTCACGGGTTAGATCCCGACATCCTGCATTTCTCAGTGTGCCCAGGCTGCCGGTTCTCAGACTCACTTTGAGGGGTAAATTCCGAGTTGAAATGCTTCCTCTGGTCTTCTACCTTATTTAAACCTCAACATGCAGATGGAGAAGCTGGGAGCCCAGAGCTCACCGCGACTCACCTGGGGACACACTGCAGTCAGGTGTGCAGATGCTCACGAAGCATAAAGAAACAGAGGGCCATGTTAAAGCTGCCCCTAAAGGCCAAGGCTTTTTCAAGGGTTCTTGAAAGGGACAGAGGCGGGAGCCTTTAGCTCCCACCTCCCTCCAAGCACACCCCCCCACACACACTAGCAGTGGCCAAAAGAACTGGGACACTTTATTGCAAGAGTTCTGCTCTTCTGCATTTTATTGGGGCCCCTGACTGGGAATACGGGACTCATGACTTCAAAGCAGGATGTAATGAATTGTAGTTGCATCAACCCATTCCTGCCTCTTTTCTCAGGATCAGAAGTGGCCACGTGGGGATGGGGTCACAGGGCAAGATAGAGGCTTTTGGGCAGCTGCCAACAGCTATTGCCCCTTCTCAGCACTCAAGCCTTACCGTCTTCATACCAGTGGTGTCCTCTGAAGGGCAAACAGTATCACAGGAGACTCTGGACATCAAATCAAGACAATGAGATAAAGAGGTTGGTCCTAACTAGGAAGCATGACAATCCCATACCCAAATTCTAAATGTCTTGTAAAGAAAAAAATGTTAAAATCTCCTACAAGTTTTGATGATGGGAAGTGATGCCTTTGAGATGTTTCTCTGATACAGTTTCTAGAATGTCTGGAGGCACCAGATGCTCTTACACCCTCACTAGGGAAGCTTTAGGCCCTCACTCAGCCACCTTCCTCAACCACTCAGCCTCCTCGTCCTTTCTGGGGCTCTGGAGTCTGTTGGGCCCTTTATCCTACTTGGTTTGGTCCCAAAAAAAATATAAACACCACATTTGTTTATACAGTCTATACCTTGGGGGAAAGTTGGTAAGGATTCTGATTGGTTAAAAAAGGACCTACACTGTATTCCTAAATATGTACTAGACCCTAAGTTGTCAAATAAAACATCATGCATTTCTTTCCAAGGGATGCACTTTTCTTGGCTGTGAGGATGTGCTTTTTTATTCATTATAAATTATGTGTTGTAAAAAAAGTTATTTTCAGGGGAGAAAAGGCCAAATAAGTTATCAATGATTATAATTACAATGCATGCACAAAGTCATTCTTAGAAACTCTGATGCCCCCTCTAATTTTTCTTTTGGTGGCCATCTCATTATCAATGTAACAAACCACTCACAAACGGGGTGGCTTCAGACAACAATTTCCTCTCTCTCGTGATCTTATTGCTTGGCTTCCAGTGAGTGTGTGTGTGGTCAGCCGGTGTTGGAGTGGGGTCATCCTAGGGCTCTTCTGGGCCATCACAAAGCTTTCAATGAGCAATTACAAAGATGCTCCAAAAAACAGAAAACCAAATAGAAGATCTTGGCAAAGAAACAGAAGATATAAAGAGGAAACAAATGGAAATTTTAGAGCTGAAAAATCCAATAGCCAAAGAAAAAAACTCACTGGATGAGCACAAAAGCAAGCTGGAGAGGAGAGAGGAAACAATCAGTGAGCTCAAAGATAAAACAACAGAAAGTACCCAATTCGTACAACCAAAACAAAGTAGAGTAATAAAATAAATGAATAAAAAATAAAAATAAAAAAACCTTAGTCTCATATGTCTGTGTGTGAGACTATAATAAAAGAGCTAATATTCATGTTATTAGGATCCTGGAGAAGAAAGAAGGTGGGGCTGAAAAAGTATGTGAAGAAATAACGATTGAAGATTTTCCAAATTTGGCAAAAGTCTTAAAACCTACAGATTCAAGAAGCTGAGAGAATCCCAAACTGGAATAACACAAAGCAGTCTACACCAAGGTACATCACAGGCACATTTCTGAAAACTAAAGACAAAGAAAGTGGGCAGAGAGGAACAATACTTTATCTACAGAGAAAAAGCAGTTTGAATGACTGCAGATCTCTCATCACAATCCATGGGGCCAGAAGGAAGTGACACAATATGTCAAATGCTGAAAGAAAAGAACTACCAACCCAGAATTTAACATCCAGCAAAAATATCCTTCAGAAATTGAGGGGAAACCAGACCTTCTCGGATGGAGGAAAACTAAGAGAACTTGTCACCAACAAACCTACCCTAAAAGAACATCTAAAGGATGCTCTTGAAACAGAAGAGAAAGTATCAAAGAAAGAACACTAGAACATCAAGAAGGAAGAAAGAACAGGGAAAAAGTAAAAACATAGGTAAATATAACAGACTTACCTTGTCCTCTTAAGTTTTCTGAAAACAAATGTGTTGGTCCTCAGGTCCAAGATGGCTCATTCTTTCCCAGAAGGCAAATTGCACCAACTGCAGGGGTGATTCAATAAGCCAGTTGTTCACCTGAGGAGTCTCAGAGTGTGGTCCCTGCACCCCGCACATTAGCACTTCCTTGTTGAAAGGCTGGTTCCTAAGTTGCTCACTAAACTCTCTGATTCAGCAGTTCCAGAGGTGGGCCCCAGGACTCTGCATGTAAAGGTGGTACATACACTAAGCTTTGAAAAGTCCCCAGATCTAAGTTGACTTTTTGTTAATAAAGGGTCAAGCTCAGTCACTCAGTGTTAACTTCTGAGGAAGGTGAGAACAAAGTGTTTTGCAAATCCCTGGCTTTGGGTAATCCAGCACTGCAGGACTGGAACAAACTGCAAGGTATAAAAGTAATCAACACCCCACATGGGGTCAAGGTCACACACCTTTGCATGGTCACAGAAGGTTGTCCCAGGGAGTTTGGGCCCATTCATCTGTGCCTCAGCTTCTTCTGTAAAATGGGGTCAGCATCTGCCCTGCCTAACTCATCAGGTCAAGGTAAAGGGCAAAACAGGTGAGCTGTGAAAGGCTTGTAAATAATTCATTATTCTTACCCAGTGCAAATGTTTAATCTCCCTTAAAAAGGACCACCATGTGGCTCTTTTTTCTTTAAAATATAATATCTGTGCTCCTCACATAGTTCCAGAAAGGCAGGCATGGTTAAAATAAAATATAGGAGTTAATTCACCTGGCCTTTCCTCCAGGGTCCTGCTGATGGGTGCTGCAGCATGGAAGCAGACCCAGGCCCCTGGTGTCATTGGGTCCTGGCACTGGGAAGATGTTAGGACCCCCAGAATGCTGATAGCAGGTGCCGAGGGACTGCTGCAGGAGTCCCTACAGGTACCTTCTGCTCCCGAAGTCCCCAGCACTTGCCTCCCAGAGGATGCAGCCCTAGATCCTGTCCCCTTTTGCAGAATGGGGTAGCAGTGACACGTGACAGGTATCAAGGGCCTTGCAAAATGTTCTGTGATTTCGGTCTAACTGGGAAAGAGGTATGTAAATTGTCATGGAGATTGGCAGAGTGGGGGTGAGGAAGGGGACACAGTAAAGTGAAAAAAGGACAGGGAAGTGAAAGCCATCCAGCTGTAGGCAGGAGGTCAGGGATGGGTGTCAAAATCATTTTATAAACAAGTCTATCAACTCAACCTAAGATCAGCGATTACAGTTACCGCGCTGGTGCCGCCAGGCCTCAGGTGTGGGGCCGTGCCGGCCTCTGGTCGCCAAAGGGCTATGCCCAAAGCGCCGCCCGCCCAGGACCCGTGTCCGCCAAGCGCACCCCCCTCGGCTCCCCGCCTGGGCCCTGGAGGCGGCCCCGGCGAGGGTCGCGGTGGGGAGGCCACCCCCGTCGGGCGCGCACGTGCTGCGGGGCGGGCGGGTTCCTCCCCTGGTTCCTCCCCACTGAAGTCACGGACTTGGCGCTGCGTCCCGGCTGGCGCGCAAACGTGGCTTCGGCCAGAAAGAAAAAAAGTACACAATGTGTTTCTTGTTAGGGGCTCTCAAGCTGGAGCCTGGGGTTTTGCTTTTGGTGCCGCATTATAATATTAAGACGTAGGTCGATTCCGTGCAAGCCTGCCCTCGTCGCCGTCTGGAGGGGGCTGCGGCGGATTCCCACGGACGCCGGCGGACGCCAAGGAGGCCTGGGCGCTGCGCTCCGACGCGGGGAGGGCGAGGCGGCTGAGGGTCCCAGCTGGGGCCGGACCCCACGACGCGCGCCTCGGGGCGGCGTAGACTCGGCGACGCCAGCCCCGCGCCCGCCAGCTCGCGGGCGGCCCGGGATTGTTTTCCAAGACCTTATCTCTCGCTCAAGTTAATTTTCTTTTTTAATTTGGTGACCGGAACAAAAGTCACAGGAAAATCCTTTGTGAAAGCCAAGCGCGGCCACAAATCGGGGCCCTTCACAGCATTTGTAACTAAATATTTGCTGTGCTGGTAGTTAAATCGGCCCCTCCGCCGAACTTCCCAAACTTTGCTTTCTTTGAACGGAGCTGAAAGGTGATCTCCTTACAGGAAGATCAGACGGTTGAAAGCAATTGGATTTAGCACGGCATTTTTCCTGGTGCCCTTGAGATCCCTGGGCAAACAGGACCGCGCGCCGATCCTAGAAGGAATTAGGGCCGGATCGTGGTGGTGTGGGGGAAGGGATGACTGCTACGCCGTTGTGGTAGCTCAGGCGCGTTGTTAATGCAGTCACTAGCTTGTGCGTCAAGAAGTGGAGGAGCTTGGGCCGGTCTTAAAAAAAATACCCAAAGGGAGAAAAATAAACATCCCCGTGGTTTGCTTTCTGTGGCTCTGCTCCTTTCCTCCCCTCTAGTCGCCCCTATCTAAGGCTGTTTTAGACCCAAATTCGGTTATCTGGTTTCAGAGTAAGGGCCACCTCTTGCCAAGGTATTCAATAAACAAGTAAAGCAAAAACTTGAATCCTTATGTAATCCAGATGCTGTTTCCTCGAAAACCACAACAAACTCTGCTAACCCAGATAAGAGCATCGGGAACAGTTGTGCACCTCCCCCCAACCCCCTTCAGGGCCAGCAGAGGACATCCGTGTTCGGGATTTCTTCTCCAGGACAGCCGACAAGCAACTGCTGCTAACACTCTAAACTGCAGATGAGCGCCCTTGAGGGATCCGGATGCCATAAACTGTCCGGGAATGTTGGCATCTGGCTCTAAAAACGGAAGTTTCCCTAGAGATAAAGCCAGGACCGAAGCGGCGTCTGCGCCCGCAGGCTAACTTGGAAGTCTCTTGATGCGTCTTGATGTTCACAGAAGAAAAATGCAGCATTGGAAAGGGGCTGTGTCTGCCCGGCTTTGGAGTGGTAACGAGGACGCGGACGCGGGTCCGCGGGAGCGCAGAGGCTCGAAGCCACAGTCCCGGCTGCACTTCCTCCCGCCTTCCCTGGGGCGAAGGGGTGGAGAGGTCTGGAGAAATCTGATGTTCTTAGGGCAACCTCCAATAGTTCCGAGGAGAGGGGCGGGGGGCAGTGGGGGGTCCTTCAAAGGTATTTTTAGGAGTCCAGCACCAAAGTCATCCCCGAGAGGATCCAAAGGGATAAATAAATCTCGCCATCCACTAAGCCCTCTTCTCCCCATCCACCTTCCCTCGCGCCAGCCTCACCCTGAACGCCTCGGTTGCAAAACAAAGTAAAACCTTGTGCTTTGGTAACCTCTAAGCCCCAATATGCCTCTTTCTGCAAAAGGAAGATTTCTTTCTTCTTCCTCTCCCGGCTTTTTTCCTTCTGCCCCCGACCCTCCCTCCCCTGGCTTTCCTTCTCGGTCCTCCTTCCTTCCCCCAAATCGCTCGAAACTTAAGACGGGCGGCGGCTGCAGGTGCGCGCGGGCCGGGCGGCCGCGCCGGGGCGAGCCTGGGACCGCCGGGCCTCGCAGGCATTGATCAGCTGGGCGCGCGCGCTGAGTGACGGCGCGGTTGCCATGGCAGCCGCCTGAGCGGCGCCGCGAGGACAAGGCTGCAGGGCGGCGTGAATGGGCGGCGTCACGCGCCTGGCGCCAGAGAGTCTGCTCCGGAGCTCCGGCTCCGGCCCCGCCGCGGCCTGGCCCGCGCGCCGCCGCCGCCGCCGCCAATTCATCACCTGTCAGGGATCACTCGGGGGGTCACAGGCGGAATGGACACAGCTGTGAGAACAAAACCGGGGGGAAGAAAGGCGAGCGCTCCCAATTGCGCCAGATGTGCAGGGCGGATCTCGAGCCCCCCGCAGGCTCCTCCCGCCCCCGTTGCATCACGCGGGGATTGCACGGGCGGCCGCGGCCCGGCCGGAGCTGCTTCTGATTACCGCGAGGGGCCAGAGCGTGGGGAGCCGCCGGCCGGCTCGGGACGGAGACAGAGGGAATGAGCCCCGGAGCCCGGTCGGGGGAGCTTTAAGTGGAGGGCGTCCCGGCGGGTGAGCGGAGGCGACGGTGCCGCCACCCCCACCGGAAGCCCTTCACACCTTGCCACCACCCACGAATCTAGCAAATCCATGCCCCTTTCGGCAGCTGGGACCGTTTGAACTTTAGAGGCCTCAAATGCAAACCCACAGAGACACCAATTGACGGATTTTTCAATGCCTTTTAACCCACCCCGACAATGCTCCAGCACCATTTTCCCCACGAAAACACAATTTTTAAGGTAATTTCGTATTGGACTTCCTGAGACAGACATACTAGTAACGCAGGTATTTTTTTAGAAATCATTAACTTATACAGCCTCATAATCCCCTTAAAATGATCTTTAAAATGAATGTACAACTGGGTAGGTGCCAGTCGAATCGGATTCAACACAATCGAGCTGACTGGACTCTGACATGGCAGCTAAAGAAAGAAACACCAGAAAATGCTCACCATATTTAGCAGTTTTACTACATCAGGGTACAAAAATGATCATGGGAGAAGGCACTGCCTTGATCAACTTTGCAAGTGTGTAAAGCAGTACTGCACAAGGCTCATTACGAACCAGTCTGGCTGTTGGGATAATGAGGCTGGCACGAATGTTAACATACGGTGTCCTTGGAAAAAGCTAGGAATGCGTCAGTATCGCAGAGCCGCAATGTCCAAGAATCACAAGTAATAATTTGAGAATCCCAAAGATGTTTGTTTACGTTGGCTATTATTGTAAAATAGTCAAAGTATAACATCATGAACCAAAATAGTGTCAAAACAAAATCTGTTCCACTGTGGCATGTATGTGACAGAAACACATGCACACAAAGTACATCAAAAGGCTCGAACTGTGGGGGATTCGGGTGTTAAATCATTTCCAGACTTAATATCAGAGGAGAGGTTGTTAATCGAACACTGTCAGGAACGGAGTTGCAGGCGGCATTGGCAGGGCCAGACCCTCCACAGACTTCTCTGCTGGTCAGGAAACCATCCACCTCCGTCTCCAAACTGAAGTGGCTGGAATTTTTGAAAGTGCCACATCACCTCGGCACCACCAACTCTGCCTCCCTAAAGAGAAGCCCTGGGGCAGGCACATGGCTGCAGCTGGTGACAGGGACCTGCTGGCCCACCAGCTGAGGAATTCATCAATAGAAGGGAAAACTACTGATTCTCCATTATTTAGCCTTTCTTTTTCTTCTGCCCCTTCCTCTTTCTTACATGCAAAGGAGATGGAGATTGAGACAAAAGTAAGCAAGATACTTTCAACTACTACATTTTCTCGAAGTTTCTAGTTTATTGTTTTCTGGAAAAATAAAAGGCTCAAAGCACAACTAATTTATCCGTGGTCTTCAGTTGAATTAGGTGTTGAAGTAACTGAAAAGTATTTGAGTAAATAGCTGCACATTTTTTATTTAGACTACAGGAATGAGTTCTTAAAGATTTACAGCAAATTAAAAAAAAAAAAGAAAGAAAGAAAAAGGAAAAACCCTGAAGCTGTACTCGGGACCAGGACAGAGATTTCAAACTTCATATATGACAGAATGTTTTTTATATAATGTGAAGATGTCGATCAATGGCTAGGGCTGCCATAAAGCTTTAAAAATACTGTAAGTGCTGGAATGTGACACCAGCAATCACTATTTCTGCATAATTAATCACATTCTTTTGCCACCTACACTGTAAGGCACAGACCTGCAGCCTCTCAAGGGCAGTGTATGTAAATAAGCTTCAATATGCAAATTTCCCTAATGATTTCCGATTAATAGGATCATTATAATAACCCTGCCCTGTTCTGGAAAAGGAATTCTGAAAGCGTCCTGCCTCTGGTCGGTCTCCTTTGCAATCGGCACGATTTCCAGTAAGTACTCAGTTTACAATACTGCTTCCCGCGTTGCTCGCGGTGCCAGATCCCACACAACCTGTCGGTGAATGCGTGCGTGGGTGTTTTGGTTTGGGGTTTTGTTTTGGTTTTTTTACATAGCTTACCCTTGTCTTAGAGACCGAATTCACTCTACAAATGTCACTTGTCAATGGCAAACTTATTTGCCTTATCACTTTCTTCAGAAGTGCTATTTTGATGACATTCCGTCGGTCACCGTGGACGGTGGCTTTCCCTCTACCGTGAAGACCTTGCTCCTGTCGCTGTGATTCGGGGCTGCTGAAAGCTCCGAGGTGTTGCAAGCTTGTCGGGGGACACCCTAGGGCGAGGGTCCTGCCTGGACATTGAAATCAGAATTAAGATTCACATTAGGCTTCCCGGAGTCACCCGCCAGCCTCTCCACTCTGGCTTCCTCCCCTCCTCTCGCGTCCGGGTCCGCTCCCCTCCCGACCCCTCCGCTCGCGTCCGCCCGGCGCGCCCCGCGCTTACTGTACTCTATTTACCACCCCAGCTGGGCTGGCGCCCGCCCCGCCCAACCCCCGAGGATTGGCTGCGAACGCGGAAGGACCGAGAGCTCGCCCCGCGCCCGCGCTCACCAATAGGACTGCCCGTACGGTCTGATGGACGTGCCGCCTTCCACCAATGGAAATGCAGGGAAACCGGATCGTGTGGCCCCGGCTAGTGCGGATAAAAGCCGCCCCGCCGAGCTCCCGGCTTCATTCTGAGCCGATCCCAGTGCTGAGCGTAGGAAGCTACGCAGGCGGCGGCAGCGGCGGCGGCCTGAGCTCCAGGACAGCTCGCTCCCTCCGGGAATCTCCTTCCCCGTGGTCAGCATGAAAGCCTTCAGTCCAGTGAGGTCCGTTAGGAAAAACAGCCTTTCGGACCACAGCCTGGGCATCTCCCGGAGCAAGACCCCGGTGGACGACCCGATGAGCCTGCTGTACAACATGAACGACTGCTACTCTAAGCTGAAGGAGCTGGTGCCCAGCATCCCCCAGAACAAGAAGGTGAGCAAGATGGAGATCCTGCAGCACGTCATAGACTACATCTTGGACCTGCAGATCGCCCTGGACTCGCACCCCACTATTGTGAGCCTGCACCACCAGCGACCCGGGCAGAGCCAGGCGTCCAGGACGCCGCTGACCACCCTGAACACGGACATCAGCATCCTGTCCTTGCAGGTAAGACCTCCTCCCGCCTTTGCCCGCGGCCGCGCACCTCTGCGATCGCCTGGGCTGCCAGAAGCTGACCTGTTGTCGAGACGCTGAGGTCGTGATTTACAGATTGAGCTCATTAACTTTAGTTTTGAACAAATCTGTAGATGGAGTAGTGCGTGAAATTGCTAAGTTCCGACGCGTTAATTCATCTATCTTTGAGTGAATTGTTGCATGGACGTGTTTAATGAAACTTGCTGTTCTACTTTTCTAAAAAGAGAAAGCGACCCATTCTCTGTAAGATTGTCTAACACCGGGCCTTTTATCCCCTTTCTTTCGCAGGCTTCTGAATTCCCTTCTGAGTTAATGTCAAATGACAGCAAAGCGCTCTGTGGCTGAAGAAATGGTGAGTGTTGGCTTGTGCCTTTGATAAACTGCCTCTTGGAGTGTGTGTGCGCGTGTGTTTGTCCATTTGTATATGCGGGTACTTGAGTATCTGTAAAGTGTTTAGTAAATGAACGTGTACCTTGATGTATTGCGCGAGTTACATTGTCTACACGTACAGGACCCGAAGAGGTTTCTAGCCTCTCTAACTCAAGATTCCAAAAAAAAAAAAAAAAAAAAAGCCGATTACTTACTATGAAGGTAGCGGAGGAAAATGTGTATTGGCTTCTGTCACGCATGTAATACCCTGGTTGGTTTCTACTATTACTGCGGTGCTATGAGGTACTAACCTCCATATAATTAACCTTATCGCTACAAATTCCATTGGGATCCTCCTTCCCTAAAACTGTAGCCCTCCGGGATTCAGCTAGTCAAGCTTTGCTACCCTGTGCTCAGCCCCTGTGATGTGGGATGCCGACTTCCCTATCTGTTAACTAAAGGACTGTTTCCAATCAAATAATTGTTACAAGCAGCAGACTGGCGCCTGTGAGCGCTGCCGTTGGAGATCCAAATAGGAGATTGTGTTGGGAAGTTTTTCCCTTGAGTCTCTGCTGTTTTACTGTTTAATTTTCGCTGCCGAGGCCGAGTGCGTGTGTTGCATCTGGACGCCAGGGTTTGCCCAATCTCTGAGTGTTTGGTTAAATGTTCAAACTGCGGCTCCCTCCTGGCGCCAGTCTGCCGCCTCTGCCCTTAGGCTACATTCTCCTGAACACGCCTCTCTCTCCCAATCTTTTGCAGGTGTTCATGACTTTTTTTTTCCCCTTTGCACAACAACAAATCCACAGGATCTTTTAAGGCGCTGAACTTACTTTTCAACCATTTCACAAGGAGGACAAGCTGAATGGACCTTTTTAAAAAATGGAAGGAAAGCTAGGAATGATCATCTTCCCCAGGGTGTGTTCTCTGACCTGGACTGTGAAATTAGTTATTTATGAAAAAGACTTTTAAAATGCCCTTTCTGCAGTTGGAAGGTTTTCTTTATATACTATTCCCAGCATGGGGAGCGAAAAATGTTAAAATCACAAGGAATTGCCCAATTTAAGCAGACTTTGCCTTTTTTCAAAGGTGGAGCGTGAATACCAGAAGGATCCAGTATTCAGTTACTTTAAATGAAGTCTTTTGGTCAGAAATTACCTTTTTGACGCAAGCCTACTGAATGCTGTGTATATATTTATATAAATATATATATATATATATTGAGTGAAACCTTGTGAACTCTTTAATTAGAGTTTTCTTGTATAGTGGCAGAGATGTACATTTCTGCAAAGTGTAATGATGTACTTATTCATGCTAAACTTTTTATAAAAGTTTAGTTGTAAACTTAAGCCTTTTATACAAAATAAATCAAGTGTGTTTATTGAATGGTGATTGCCTGCTTTATTTCAGAGGACCAGTGCTTTGATTTTTATTATGCGATGTTACAACTGAACCCAAATAAATACAAGTTCAAATTTATGTAGACTGTTTAAGATTATAATAAAACATGTCTGAAGTCAATACCTGAATTCTGAATGATTTTTAAGATTTCTCTCTCTCGTAATCTCTCCTGCCATTTAATTCAACCCCTTCTTCATCCCTTCCACCACCCGCTAAGCCTTGGAATTTGTGTGCAAAGGAACTCACCAGATATGTGGTCAGGGCTAGGGGGCAAAGGGCTGCTTCTAGCTTCTTAGGAGACCTGAGGGGGACTGGGGAGGCTATAAACAATCTTAGTTCCTCAGGGAAAAATTAGTTCTGTGTCTTGGGGCTGAGTTTCAAACTAAGGAGTTGCTGTGGCTCCTGAGAGACCTTCAAAATAAATGTGGAGTCTGGAGTTGGAAGGTTTTTTCATTACCCATCTGGGTAAGTGTTACAACACACTTGGAGTAAATGAAATGCTTGTTAATCAGAAAAGAAAAGGCTCCATAGAATTCCAAACATGATTAAGATTTAGGGGCAGGGCAAAAAGGCGCCTCGGGGTGACTGCTTACCCCTGGGAATGAAGCTGTAGTGGGGCTTGAGCGATTGGCCTGTACCCCCACCTGTAGTTCACCCAGGCTCTCAGAGCCAGGGTTTGGACTGGGCCCACTTTCCAAGGCAGGTGGCTATTAAATTGCCCTTCACCCTTGACTGCTCCCATGGGCTGCCCCGGGAAAGGAAAAGGGGGAGGGAAAGGAGAAAAGCCTTTCAAGTCACAGGGAAAGTATCAGCAAGCTATTTCCTTAGCAGCCCTCCGGTGGCAAAATATGGACTTTAAAATACATAGTATAAAGTCGTGTCTAAAATGTATATGCACATATACTTTCAAAAGCAACCACTCTAGGTGTGAGGGACCTGGGGTGGGAGGTTCTGGAAGGCTGGCCTGAGGTGGCCGGAACTGGGGAAGGCGGGGGAGGGTGGCCATCTCACCTGGGGCCTGCTCTCAGGCCCACGGAGCAGGTGTTTGGGTGGTGTCTCCGAGTCTGCCCCGGCGGTGGCAGCACTTCCAGCCCCGACGCAGAATCAATCCAGCACCGCTCAGCGGGCTCGGTGGAGAGGTGAGCTCGGCTTGGCCAAACCTTGCCGATCCTGCGTCCGGCTAGCTCGAGACCCTCCTTCACCGGGGCGGGGGTCGTAGGGTGGCCTGGGTGGCTTCTGTGCTCAGAGGTGGGCACGTTCTTTGCGCTGGGCGCAGGACCTAGGGCCGTCGTCGTTGTTGATAACCATACACCGGAGAAGCGGGCTCTAGCAAGAGGCACCCGGCTGGAGCGGGTCATCCCGACGCAGACCACCCTTCGGACCTGTCGCCTGACGTCCGGACGCCTATCGACTGCTGGGACCCGGCGCGGCGAGGGCGGGAAGTGCGAGGACAGGTCCTTTCCTCCGGGGGAGCGCCGGCGGGGGCGCAGACGCGCTGTGGCTACGATTGTGCTCAGCTCGGCTGGGCCAGGGCATCTGCCCGGACGGGGACGGTCATATGCAAGGGCTCCTTGGCTTTCCCGGGAAGCCGTGCGGCCGGGGTGGGCCCTTTCTAGCACCTACACAGCCTCTGGGGGCCGAGGACTGTTTGCAACGTTCGGATGACGCCCCAGAGTGCTGCCCCGTCCAGGAAAAGCGGCACCTGCGGAGGCAGGGTGCCCTTGCCTGTCCGGCCGGTGGAGGCCGGGCGCCACCTGCTGGCCGGAGGGAGGAAGGCAGTGACTCATGAGCGAGGTCCTCTTGTGCCGGGAGGCTTGGGCACTAGGAGCCGAAGGGCGAGCTTTCAGCTGCTGCACTGGAGAGGGGAACGGCAGGGAGAGAGAACCTTTTGAAAATAAGCCCTGATTCCATGACAGATTACTTCTCTAGCATGTTTACAGTCGTTTCCACAGGTGATCCTTATTTCGCCTTTGCTACATAACTTATAATCGCCTTTTGCTACATAGTATCTACCACCAACTCTACTCTCAGGTGCTGTTCTGGATTTTAATACAAGTATCAGACATGATCCCTGGCCTCAAAGAGATTATAACTGGATTGCAACAACAACAAGAAAAAAAGAATTTTGAGATAAAATTAAGGCCAGAACCTTTCCCCTTGTCTTACCTCAAGGTTTTTAATTATATTTCATTTTTCCAAACTGCTTAAATAACGTTAATGAGGACCTCCAAAGTTCTGTTAAAGGAGTAAGGGGTGGGAGCAGACACCCTTCCCTTAATCCAGAATTTCATGAGAATGGGTCAAACCTTCTCTATTATGCATGACCTGACTCTCGGATTTTGTTGTAACATAGTTTTTATCTAATTTAGGAAGAACCCTTCAATTGTTAGGTGGAGATTTTTTTTTTAATTTTAAATAATTTGGGGGTGAATTTGGTTTAATAGTTTTACTCATGTTGATAAATTTACTGCTGATAGAATAATTGATTTTTTTCCAGAGTAGTACAATGATTTTTCTAATGTGAACTAGCCTTGTGTTTCTGCAGTAAATCCTTACTTGAACATGATGTATTACTACTTTTTATATGCACTCTTACAATCTGACAGCCAATATTTTATTTGGAATTTCTGAGAATGAAATGGAGCTGTGGTTTCTCTTCTTGCACTATCTTTATCTGGTTTTGGAATCCAGGTCAAACTAACCTCAAACAATAAATGTGCAGGTCAGTTTACATTTAATTTCAGTTACCAAAGCCATGGAT